TAAAAGCTGTGATATTTGATATACAGCTGTATTGTGATCATTTGTTTTTCTTCTTTTGTTTTATATTTTATCTAAAAGAATATATGAATTTAAGATGTATTTTTAATTCATTAGGTTATTATAAATACGGAATGGGGCGCGTTCGGAGATAATGGTTGTCTAGACTTCATAAGAACCGAGTATGATCGTGAACTGGATAATTTCTCAATAAATCCTGGTAAACAAATGTGAGTAGCTTTGCTTTTGCCTTTTCAAAACTTTTCCTTGAAAGCCTTAAAAAAAATTTTTAATGAACTTACGCTTTACTTCTGTGTTTTCCCAGAATGGAGAAGATGATTTCCGGTATGTATATGGGGGAGATAGTGAGATTGGTACTAGAGAGACTCGCCATGGACGAACTTCTTTTCTCCGGAGTCGATAGAGATGGCGAACTTTTCATCCGTGGTCGATTTTACACGAAATATGTTTCAGAAATTGAAAGGTATTAATAACAGTTGATTGAAAGTTAAAAGTGATTATTGCAAAATGCTTCAGATCTATATATATATATATATGTACATTTATGTGATATTGCTTCAAAGTAGTTTAAATTTTTTTTTTATTTGCAATCTTTTGTTTCCCTATTAAAAAAATCTTACCAACTGCTACAGGTAGTGCTTAAGTTATTTTTTTTTTTAAAAATGCGAGTGGCATGTTTTTAATGTTAATGGCTAATTAAACACATTCTTTGACTAAGTTTGACGATGAAGACTTGATACCGAAATAAATATGGAATTGCCTTATTATGCAAATGCTAGTTGTAGGATTTTAATTAAATATTCAACAAATTCAAATGCAAGACTATAGCATTCCCATTAGTATTGTAAATTTGCATGATTTTAAGAAAGGAAAACGGAAGGCTTTAAGGCCAAGAGGACAAATTTTCTTGGTTAAATAGACGTTATGTAACTGCTAAATACTTCAAAAATAATTATTTAAGACTTTAAAGAAGTATTTTTGATCATACTGAAGGTCTTTCGAGGAAAGAAAGGTTAAGAATCCTTTGGAGTTGTACATGTATTTTCTGTTTTGGAATTTTATTTCGGTTTTGGAAATAAATCAGCTGACTTAAGAAGGAAACTTATATGTAGATGTATTGTAAGTCTTAATTACGATATGTAACGTTTTTGATGTAAAACTAGAGATAAAAATTCCAGATGTGCATTTGCACACAGCTTCCCAATATCTTGACGAACAGTCTTGTTAAATGTGCATATTGACACTTTCGTAAATAAAGCAGTTAATTAAAACGTGATGTCTTTGTTGTTACAGTGATCATGACGAGTTCTTCAGAAATACAAAACAGGTCCTTGATGAACTAGGCATTGAAAACTACACCTCAGACGACTGCAAGATTGTCAAATATGTCTGTACTCTGATTTCTGCGCGCGCAGCATTCCTCTCATCTGCAGGTGAGTTCAATACTTTTGACCAGAATTTACTCGATTATGGCGCAACTTGAGGATTTTGTAAAACATGTTAACTTTCAAACAGGCATCGCTACTCTGATCAACCGTCTGAAAAAGAAGTCTATGACGATTGCCGTTGATGGCTCCCTCTACCGATTTCACCCACGATTCCACAACCTTATGGTTCTAAAAATACAAGAACTAGTCAACCCGGGACATAAGGTAGATAAGTTTTCATCAGTAATTATTGCAATGTTCATACATTTAAAAGTTATTATTGGTGTGAAAATCAGTTTGCTCTTATACGTTTTTACTTATATTAATTTCTATTTAAAGTCATACTTTGACCGTTATCGGTTATACCACTAACTTTATGCGTTGAAACGAATAAAATATTTATATTATTTGCTATATTTCCAGTTTAAATTGGTTTTATCTCATGATGGAAGTGGAAAAGGAGCAGCATTAGTAGCAGCTGTCGCTACAAGACTCAATGATTTAAAGAATACTGCGGAATGAACATAATACTGCTACGGCAGAGCTTTCAATAGTGGAGGAAGAATCTTGCATAAGATCACGTGACATTCAATTTCCGGTCATATGATCTCTTTCTTCATGTTTATCATTTAGCATTGGCTGCATTATGTAGGGAATCATATTTCTCTGTAAGCTAATGTATTGGTACATAAGTATTTTGCTTCGAGGTTTCAGCAAAGACATTGACGAAGGAGGGCATTAATGTTGCATTAAATGGTGCATCTAATATTCTAACAAGGACATTGTAGCAATTGAATTTGTTGCACTTTTGTCATTGAAAATGAGAGAATGTTTAAGAGAAGTTTTCTGAAAACATGTTAACTTTTGTTGAGGTTGTCTTCTTTTTAAAAGCAGTTTTTCCCTGTTCTGTGGTAAAAGAAACGATCGTGCATTGCATAGAAAATTAATATGAAAAAAATACCCAGTGATGCACTCGTACAACTTTCTTACTTGGCAAATGAAAGTAAATTATAAAGTGGCTAGTTTTGTACTGCTACATGTTTAAACATACTCATATTTGTATATACACATGAAAAATGCATGCATTATTATAGAAATGTATAATGATATATATCCATGTACAGTTCATGATCAGTTGTTTCCCTTGAGCTACTGTTGTACTCCTTGGCTTTTTGTTATGATATATGGACTTGTTATTATGAATAAAACCAATTTTTGAGAAATGTGTGCTTTTTTTATCAGCTTCACCAGAATTCTTGACCAAGGAAGTGACATCATTCATTGATATTTTTACTGTTTTTGGACAGCAAGCGAACATTATGGAATACAAGTAACAGCTTTTCAAAAAGCTTGCTTGACTAATACAATCAATATTTATAGAACCTATAAGCATGATAAGTTATAAATGTTTACATTGGGGGGAAGGGGGGGGATAAATTGTTTCACTATCTAGAGTAAATTATGAAGATGTTGCACAAAATGTCCCGCTGTATAGATTCGAACCCGCGACGTAAAGATGAACACCTCACTCCGAGAGTCTAAAAATGGTTTTAGAGGATGAAGTAAATAAGGGAAAAAACTAAATCAAATGTAATTGATTACTGATGGAAAGCATGGCTATACATGTATGTAAAGGTTACATAAATTAGATTCAACTACATACAGCATAGGCTTTGATAAGGATATGGAGATAACGAGCAGTATTCAATCTAAAAGTCCACTAAACAATACAAAATCGGAGCAGAGCAAACACGGACCTCCGAAACATCATAGGTGGGATCAGGTGCCATCAGGAAGACAGCTGAAAATATGATAACTACAAGAAACTGGGAATCGTAACGGTTATGACTGACATGCAGAATATGTTTAATAGTTTCTTGGGTATGCCAGAGCATCAAGATTGTTGGAAACGTGGGATAAATAAAGCCCTATATGCTTAAATGACCCAACAAACTTGACGACTATGAATGGCGACAGGCGTGGATTCAGGAGGTTTTTCCCAGGGATGAGGGGTTCAAATCAAAAATAATTGACTTGAGCAAAAAAATAATAAACTCTTAATCCTGAAATGTGAGAGGACACTTTCATAAGTCTACATACTCTGTTTTTGTACATGTGTAGGAGGAAACACCCTGGAGGGGGAGGGGGTTAAGTTCAGATGTATATTTGGCCAGTGCATCCTCTTGAGAAGTTTTTGTTCCTTTCTTTTCTATTACTTTAAATGTTGTGACTTCTAACTCACTTCACAATATCACCTTCTTGTTTTTTTTCCCAAAGCTCGACCATGATTCCGACAAAAAAGATCGTACTTTATATCATTCGTGCAGTTTCCTTTTTCCATTTAATAGAATAGTCCGGGAAAAGGGAGCAAAAACTTACACGTGACATTTTGGCGCGAAATGATTGTGTCACCCCTTAAATAGAAGACAAATGGACTAATCCAGTAGTATAGAAACGCAGGAAAAAGGTCAAACGGATATGTCCGTATAAAACCTCACATGAAATAAATAGCTGCTAGCAAAAAGCTAAAGGAAATAAATACATCAATGTATTGTATCAGCAATATGGTTATTTTTCTGCTAACTGTTATTGCTGAAACGCTTGTAACAAAATCCGATGATAATCAGCATGCTCAAATTTTGCTGGCTAACTGTGACCTCTTAGGAAATTGATCCTTAGTAGTGCCTGACGCTGTGACGTCAGGCAATAAATGAGGTTCCTGAACTGCGATTTTCGTTTCAGGTTAATCAATCTGCTCATTCATATAAAATAAGTCATTACCGCTAATAATAAATCAAAAGAAATCTAAATAAATCTAAGTAAAATATACGCAATTTAACCATTTCTTTCGGGGGCAAAATTTGACAGGAATGGTTGGTTTTCTGGACAATTTTAGAAAAGAAATATCGTTTATCTCAGTGAAACTTTTCAGATGGTCAAGAAACTACACAATTTTTCTTGTTGTCCTTTCTTGTTTCAAGTATATTAAATTTTCGGCTCCAAGTTATAAAAAAAATGTAGAAAGAGCTTGTGTATTTCTAATGATTGATATCTCTTGAGCGCCTGATTAAATTTTGCATATGTCTGTTTTTCAAATACAATTTATTATTCATCCGAATTGTTAAAGAGATTTAAAATGTAGATCTCTGCTTCTTCTACGTTAAGTTTTCAAAGACGATGAGACGACCCCTTTATCTTTCCCTTCCATCGATTATATCTACCAAATAATTGTTTTATAGTAGTAGGTAAATGGTGAGTATTTCATTATCTTTTTTTCCAAGCAAAACCACACGTCCTATTGGCGTATGTATTATAATTATGTCAAATCAAATGAAAAATCTATATACTGTAATATAAAGAAAGGTCGATCAACAGAATTCTGTTATGTAGCATAGTGGACAAACTGCAGAGGATTTTCTTTCATTTTTAAATATAAAAAGTAGTGTAAATATAACATCTTATTTGTAGTATACTGCACACACTGTGTGTCTACGCAGTTTGTTAAAAAGTCTAAATTGATAGAAAGTCATTAAACTTTTATAAAACAAATCGAGTTTATTTTCGACCACTTGATCCAAATCCACTAGAACCAAACCCTGCGTTAGCAGCATTTGGGTCAAAGCTGCCACCGAATCCCCCTGATGCAGCTCCCGAACTACTCCCTCCCATTGCTGCATTTGGGTCAAAACTACCTCCAAATCCTCCTGATGCAGCACCCCCTGAACTACTTCCCCCTCCCATTGCAGCATTTGGGTCGAAACTTCCACCAAATCCCCCGCTGGCTGCTCCTTCACTTGAACTCCCACCTGCTGAATTGCCTCCTGATGAACTTCCAAAACCACTTCCTCCAAAACCCCCACTTGATGAACTTCCACTTGCTGTATTGTCTCCTGATGAGCTTCCAAATCCGCTCCCTCCGAATCCTCCACTAGAACTTCCAAAACCACTTCCTCCAAATCCTCCAGTTGAACTTCCACCTGCTGAACTGCCACCTGACGAGCTTCCAAACCCGCTTCCTCCAAATCCTCCAGTTGAACCTCCTCCGGAAGAACTTCCAAAACCACTTCCTCCAAATCCTCCAGTTGAACTTCCGCCTCCAGAGGAGCTTCCGAAGCCACTTCCTCCAAATCCTCCAGTTGCGCTTCCACCTGTTGAACTTCCTCCAGAAGAGCTCCCAAAACCACTTCCTCCAAATCCTCCAGTTGAACTTCCGCCTCCAGAGGAGCTTCCAAACCCGCTTCCTCCAAATCCTCCAGTTGAACTTCCACCTGCTGAACTTCCTCCAGAAGAGCTTCCAAATCCGCTTCCTCCAAATCCTCCAGTTGAACTTCCGCCTCCAGAGGAGCTTCCAAACCCGCTTCCTCCAAATCCTCCAGTTGAACTTCCGCCTCCAGAGGAGCTTCCAAACCCGCTTCCTCCAAATCCTCCAGTTGAACTTCCACCTGCTGAACTGCCACCTGACGAGCTTCCAAATCCGCTTCCTCCGAATCCTCCAGTTAAGCTTCCGCCTCCAGAGGAGCTCCCAAAGCCACTTCCTCCAAATCCTCCAGTTGAACTTCCGCCTCCAGAGGAGCTTCCGAAGCCACTTCCTCCAAATCCTCCAGTTGCGCTTCCACCTGTTGAACTTCCTCCGGAAGAGCTACCAAATCCGCTTCCTCCAAATCCTCCAGTTGAACTTTCGCCTCCAGAGGAGCTTCCAAAGCCGCTTCCTCCAAATCCTCCAGTTGAACTTCCGCCTCCAGAGGAGCTTCCGAAGCCACTTCCTCCAAATCCTCCAGTTGCGCTTCCACCTGTTGAACTTCCTCCAGAAGAGCTACCAAATCCGCTTCCTCCAAATCCTCCAGTTGAGCTTCCGCCTCCAGAGGAGCTTCCAAACCCGCTTCCTCCAAATCCTCCAGTTGAACTTCCGCCTGCTGAACTACCAAATCCTCCAGAGGTATCAAATCCACTTCCTCCAAAGCCACCGGTCGCTGCAGCGCCAGATCCACTGGATGAAGAAGCAGATCCACTACCGCCACTCGAGCCGAATGCTAAGGCATTGGGATCAAAACCTAAATGAGCCAGAAGAAAAGGAATATGGTATTTTGTACTAGGATCTTTTTAAAACAGTATTCATTTATTTTTTGTCTGTTTTTAATTAATTACGGACAAAAATCAATTCACTACGAGAGGAATTGACTTTTAAATAATTTGTCGAGTAGCCCAGAAGAAAAGATTTGCATGAAAGAAGGAGAGATGCAAATATTTAAAAGAGAGTTGCTTGTACATGTACGTACTTGTGTTTTCTTTTGAAGGTAAGAAATGTTATATTCTAGCATATTCATATTACATTCAAAGACTACTTCTCTTATTTTGTTTATGATATATATTTGGAGATAATTATAGATATATTTCGTGTATACGAATGCTAAAATACAGCTGATTAATTGATGTACCAGACTTGTTAATCTAACTAGAAATAAATTTCTGCAAACTTTGGAGACATAGGAAATGTTAATGAGTATCGTTCGAAAAAAGACTTTTAAATTAATCTTTCTTAATGAAAACATCCGTGAGCCTAATACTCACTCTGGCTATAAATAAGCACAGGAAGACCCAAAAAGAGCAGGAAATATCCGACCGCCATCTTCTGTCTTTCTACTTATCACGGTTGGTCAGTGGGAAGGCGAGCTTGTCCTTTCTGTGTTCTATTTATAGATTACATTTCCGTGACTTATCTAACCTATCAATTACAAACTTATCTTTACCTAACATAATTATTTTCTTCAATGATTTGTGTATCATGATTTTTTTTTAAAGTTATAACGTGAGTTTTCAACATTAATTTGTATCTCAGAATGCTTCAAAGAACTGAGATTTGAAATCAAAGCTGACGAATGGAAGAAGCCCATATGTTAAAAGCAGAACAGATTTTACTAGAATAAAAAAAAATAAAGTTAAATTACAGAAAATATTCAAGCATAATCATTTAAAAGATCGAGGCATACAATATACATGTGCTTTAGGAATTTTTCAGATTTTTTTTAAGTCGTGAAGAAAATAGTAATAAATTTTGAATTTAGAGAAAAGCACAATATTTTACCCTGGCACAAAATGAATGGATTGTACAGCCTTGGTTGTCATAATACATGTAATTGACTGACCGCATGCTTTAAATAATTGCATCCCGCATTTAGAAATGAATGTCTTCATTATAAAAAAAAGAAACTGAGTAGTTTAAACTGATAAACTTTCTTAAGGAACAAGTTATAATTTATCTTTAAAACGATATATTGCATCAGATTTTGTATTCATTGCAATATAACGTGAATTAAGCAGGAAATCTCCCAGCATTCAGTGATGCCAACATTAATCAAATGAATGGAACAATAAAATATGCTATTTAGCATCCAGGTTCCTGGGATTAATTAAAACATTATGTCATAAAACGCTCTGCACTAATAAGAATATGACAGAGTCGCAGACTATGCAAATAGAGTTATCTTTCTTTTGACAGATTTCTTTTCCATTTTCTTAAGATACAAAGTGGCGTACACTATTGCAACGGTCTAAGAGAAGAGTTTGAATACAAATGACGATCTAAGTTGGATAAAAAGGATACAATATGTCACGTGCTTTACACAGTTGTTTGGTTTAGACCTTGACGTAATCGCTAAACCACAAAATACGAGTACGTCCTGAAATAACTTGTCATATCTCTTAAAATTGAGAAATGGTGTTGTGTTAAAGCTTCCTTTGGTTTCAAATGTACTGCTGAATAGTGCATTATCAGATGAAAACGTGCATTCAGTAATATATAAAGTCTTTACTCTATTTTGATACAAAAATTAAAATTAAAATGATTAATTTGAGATACATGTATATAAGGTTTATCAAACATATATAGAAGATCTCTTTATAATACAATATTGATGGAAACTGGATCACAATTGCAGCCCAACAGAGATTATAAATTCAATACACTTAGCAGTGGAATAATGTACATGTACATGTATTTCATAAATGACAAAAAAGGTTTGAAAAATAATAGAATTTCAATTGAAAGAAACAGAGTGTGAAAAATATTCAACATCATCATATAGCAATATACTGGTGCAGGACTTCAAATTACTTGGCATTCATCAAATGAATACCATTGAGCAGTGAGAGATCTTGTCCTCTTAAGTATCAAACATTAAGAATGCAAAAACAGCATATGCAGAGACTAGTGGAATTATGATTACAAAAAGTTGACGGTTTAGTTCTTAGATTGCCACATCGTCTATAGTCAGAAAAACACCAAAATATTCAATATTTGCGGCAGTTATGTCTTCTATTTCAAGTCCATAGGGATATATCGAGTCTTCATATGAATTGAAGTAACTTGTATATTTATAAAAAGTCGTTAAAGTATCTGAATGTCGCTTCAGAGCAGTGTTATTTAGACTTAAGGGTGTGTATTGAATTATTGAATACATGTGTTATTGTAGATTTATAAGACTAGTGTCCATGTTTTCACAACTTTTACAACATCAGCATTTGAATCAGCATCATCTATTTCTTATTGGTTCTCAGTGGTCCAGTTGAAATGTCTAACAATTTTTCTTCCATTTTCATGAAAACAGTTGTCCCTTCTGTGTCTTCAGGATGAGCTCTGTTTCACTCTCTTACTCCTGACCCCCAAGCAAAAATGGCACCGATCAGAAACAGTATGCCTGTAATGAAATATTTTTGCTAGATCGGTTTTTTTTAACGAGAAAATTATTTTGATGACTCTACATGTATATGCATCTTTTTTTAAAAAAAAAAGGACTAACGGTTAATGCGAATATATAATTATTATTTTTGAATCTTTGATCCCCCTGCCCTTGCCCCTCATCCCCATGCTCTTACCTGCTCCTTTTTAAGACTCGGCATATGTTCCTCCTGATTTCACAATGAAGCCCGGAGAAGGTTTAAATATAATTTTTACTACAAAATAATTTGAAAACAAAAAAATGTTAATTTTTTTCAATTTTACGTGAAGAGGACTTTATGCTTTGTGTATGATGATATACTATATACTTGCCTGCAAGAAAGTATCAAGACAAGTAAAAAAACAAAATAAGTCCATATATACACCGTAGCGTGATAATATATTAATACAAGGCTGAGCAAGCATTACACTCATCGAATTTAATAGGGCATAGCATATTCCGGAGTACTATTCCAATGTCACAATGTACATGTAAAACCCCTGACCACCATATGTTTGTCCGTACAGTGGAAATAGCACTGTCTTTATACCTGTTAAGCTGAAATAATCTGTATATTGAACAAACCCGTCGATATTGTTGGAATTGCTAACAAACCAGAATGCGAAATATACAGTTGCAGATACTACATACTGATAGAAGAAAAGCAGATTCCAATTTGCGATATTCTACGAAAGTTACGCAACTTGCAAAATGAAGGAACACAAGATAAACTCCGAAATCACATAGGAATGTAGTCAAGTCAATACACAAAAGTGCTTTTTTGAGAGAAAAATGTAGACTTTTTGTCTCTTTATTTCGACTGACTTCAAGAGTGGAAGGAAAACGTAATAAGACACCGAACACACAATATTGCAAAGTCAAGCCTAAACGCTGTTTTTATATACTCACCTTTACTATGATAATATCATTGTTTTGAACTTTCAAAACTTTAGAGGAATGACACAATGGAAAAATCTAACAATAAACACGCAACTGGATATATTCCTCCCCCCTTTTTACATTATCTACATGTATACATTTGTAAAATGTTTATAATCGGGGGTGTTAATTTATATGCATATTGCATGCCTGTCAGTTTTTACATGTATAAACCACGTTGTGCATATTCTTGAGAGTCTAGTGTAATTCTAAAAGACTGAATCTTTTTCAAAGGATGAATATTGTTAACAAATTTCTCATCCTCTTGTTTTTTAATGTTTCAAGCATCCAAGCCACACTGAGCTGTTCTCTAATGAATATTAATGAATTGTGCGCAATGAGGATGCGTCGTATATTATGTCGATGTTGTATTCTCACTCGTGCAGTTTTCGTTTTTACGTTTGTGTAATTTTCTCGCTATATCGTGTAAATATTTTGTTGATTGTGTAGTTTTTCTGTAGTTTGTGTAAGTTTCAATAACTTTGTGTATGTTTTCCTCACTTTGTGTAAGTTTTGACTTGCTCGTGTAATTTTTGTTTAAGGTCGTGCAGAAAATAGTTTTGAACCAATCGGCGTGCCATACTAAACGCATAAACATTGGACCACGATCTAAAATAGTCGCTTGCATTTTGAATCAAAGGCACTAGTTTGAAAGCCCCAATGCCAAATTTTAAAAAGCTACAGTAACTCCGCTCGCGAAATTCCTTCTTCTATCAAAGTTTTACCTAACAACAACAACGACAACAACAGACGATGTAAAAGCCACCCCTATTCTAATTTTTTGTTTCATGATGAATAAGTATATGATGCATTTTTAATTTTTTATTATTGTATAGTGTATTGTACCATCGACTATCTCCTGTGAAAAGAAAGCATATATTCGACATCAAGGCAGTCGCTAACAGACTTAAAGACACAATTATTCCACCAGTTACCAAGGATACTCGACAACTATACCTACTGGTTATCAAACTTGCAAGTGATCCTAAAAGAGATGAAAAGTGGTTTAATTAACAAGCAGTGTCAAATCTCAGAAGATCTGGAAAAACAATACGAATCGTTTGTAAAACAAATCAATAAATTACAAGATGGGCTTGTGAAACACCGATGCCCTCGTACGGCAGCATTGTAAAAGTAGGTCAACCCCAAAAAATAATTCATTCATGTTTATAATAACACGCATATCAACCATTAACCAAATTACAAAAAAAGTAAATGGGTTACGCATGATGTGGTTTTTAAAAAGTAATTGTTAAAATCTGCTCCAAAACACCGTAACAAAAAAAAAAAAAAACTCGGGAAATGCATGAGTAGCCAACTGTTCACTAATAATAAACCTCTGCAAAAAAGATTTCCATGTTCTTTGGAAACTGATTATTTCATGTAGATAACGGAAGGTAACAGACAATACATATCGATCGAAAAGTTATATGGAGATAACGAAAAGTATTCAAGCTCAAAAGTTTACTCAAGCAACATGACTCGGTAGCAGAATAAACACAGACTTCTTAACATCAGATGTGGGTCCGGTGACATGGGTGGTTGAGTATCCCTGCTGACCGATCACATCTGCAGTGTATAAAATGATGCCCAATCAATAAGTACATGTTTGAAAACCTCCATCAGCATTTCATTTTATGATTATGAATGATATTTAAAAATTTTCGGGACATCTTTTCCTTTTCCTCAGAAAATAGACAACATTAAAAAGTCACAAAACAAAGCTGTATTCATTTATCATTTTACGCTTTTAGTTTTATTATTAATAGTTTATTCATTTGACATTTATTCGAACAATGCGACACACGTCGGGCCAGTCTTGTCTTTGTGGACATGTGCGATTTCCTAAACGATCAAATTAATTATCGCGATTTTATCACTATTTCAACATAGTGCTACTAAATATTGAAGTCAATACTAAAATGCATTCAATAATAAATAAAGCATGAGAAAATTATATTATAAGGCATGATCAAGAACCCATTTAAAGTTTGAAATGTTAATTAAATTGACTTGTCCATTTGGGACTTTCGGGATAAAAATGTTGCACCACTGGTTCTCCTCAAGAATAATAATTTGATGCAAATACTGCGATTATAATTTCCTAACATTTTTGTTTGTGTCTAGTTATGTTCCCCAAACGAAGTTGGGGAACATATTGTTTTTACTCTGTTTCTTATTATTATTATTTTTCTTCTTCTTCTTCTTCCTGGGTACTTTTTTGTCCGGGAATGATCTCTTAAACTATACATCCGACTAAGGTGAAATGTTTTTAGGGTCAGTAGACATGTTATGTAGATTTGCGGAACGAAGGTCATTTTGCGCGCACGTGTTTGCAAGAGCGTGCACGTGCAACATGTGAAATGACCGATTTAATTGATATAGGCGTAACTTTTTAAATTTTTGATGAAATGCTTTGAAACCTATAATATAAGGATATATTAGAAGCATAGACAATATGACATGGTCAAAATAGCAAGATCTCACGCGCATGCACGTGCGCTTTGCTCTGATTGGCTGAAACTAAAGTCTCAATATCTTTCTTGTTTTTTGACGAAATCCTTTGAAATTTTGAAAATTGCCATGCATTAGGATATCCTACAACATGATATGTAGCAATTATCATGAAAACACGTGCATGCACGTGCGCTGCAATCTGATTGGCTTAAACTTTAAATAGCTATAACTCCCTTGATTTTCAACCAAACAGGATGGGATTTGGAACATAGATAGATATACTGGACTACTACAAGAAAATATGGTCACCATGCACATGCATACACGTGCATGCACGTGCGCTGCAATCTGATTGACTGAAACTTTAAACAGCTATAACTCCCTTGGTTTTCAACCAAACGGGGTGAGATTTAGAACATAGATAGATGTAACAGACATCTACAAGAAGATATGGTCACCATGCTCATGTACGCACGTGCGTGCATGTGAAATGAGCAAAAAAAAAAAAACACTTGAATGAGCGTATCTTTTTAATACTTTTGGATTAAATACTTTAATATTTAGTATATTAAAATATATAGATTGTGTAGGCAAGATGATATGGTCATTACGCACATGCATTCACAGGCGCACGCGTGCAATGCTAAAATTTGAATGAACTTGTACACTTCTGGGTAAATGTTGTTAAAGTTTCAAATGCATCGAGTTTATCTTATTTAATGAAGCTTACAGGGAATATGGCACCAAAAGGGAGTTGGGGAGCGTTTGGGGAACATCTGTAACGGTCCCCGTTACAATTAGCACTAGTTTTAAGAAACTGCGTTTATCTTCGTCACCTTTCATTTTCATAATTAAAAAATAACTATTTAGTAGCATGCAAATTAAACAAAAAATCAGGAAGACAATTCTAACATCCAGTTGCCCTTTAAAATATCATAATTATAGTGATGAATTATCTTAATTATCTTCAACTCAGAATTCAATACTCGTTGTTTTGTTTCAACATTCTACATGTACCAATAAATATATGCCTCCATCTACTCATTATCTAGACCATTCTTTGAGATCTCGAGAAAAAAATCACAGATTACTTATCTGTTCCCTAATTGATTGTTCGTATAGGAAAAAACCAAAAGACAATTCATCACTTTAATTATGATATTTTATAGGGCAACTGGATTTTAGAACTGTCTTTATGGTTTTTGTTTACTTTGCATGCTACTAAATAGTTATTTTTTTAATTTTGAAAATAAAAGGTGACGAAGATAAACGTAATATTTAAAACTAAACTAACAAAAATGTTAGTAAATTATAATCGCAGTATTTTTTTTTATCAAATTATTATTCTTGAGGAGAACCAGTGGTGGAACATTTTAATCCTGAAAGTCACAAATGAACAAGTCAATTTAATTAACATTTCAAACTCTAAATGGGTTCTTAATCATGCGTTATAATAAAAAATTTTCATACTTTATAGATTGTTGAATGAAGTCTTAGTATTTACTTTATTGTTTAGTAGTACATGTACTATGTTGAAGTAGTGATTAAATCGCGATAATTAATTTGATCGTTTAGGTAAATCACAAATGACCACAAAGACAAGACTGGCCGGACGTTTGTCGCATTGTTCGGATAAATGACGATTTAATTAACCAATAAGCATTAGTTCAAATATTCAAAACATAAAATTATAAATAAATAGATTTTTGTATTTATGACTCTTTTACCTCTTTAACCTCTTTTATGTCTTGATGAAAGGAAAGGGCGTCCGGAAAAAATTAATTGTTCTTGCTGTTGTTCTTTTTTTGAGTCATCTTAAAATAGAGGTCCATCCGTGACCTGTATCTATATTTAGTAAATAGCGAAACTATTTTCACATTGAATCTACATAAAATGGGACTCTTCTCTCCGTTCATGTTCATGTTCTATTCTGAAAGACTAGATCGTTGTTATATTGTTTTTACGAAGTAAATGTATATGTAATTTCTAATCTATTACTCCCACAAGCATCCACGGTGACCTATTTGCTTTGGTGTCCATCGTTTGACCCCCATTTCCCTTTTGCCCTTAAATAGATGGGACTGACTACATACACTGTAATCTACGTATTACACGCGTATTTGTAACATTTGTAAGTTTTGGAGCTGTAAAACATTACTACCTTGATATAAGAGAGAGAGAATCTTTCATTAATCATCGTTATTAAATAACTTCAAAAACAGTAATACGGCGATGAATTCCTCGTCAAATGTTATGGGAAATCTTTGAATTGTAATATGTTTTTTTTCTCTCTTTTTCTCAACATCTAGAGAGAAATATGCATCAATCAAACATCAGAATTAACAAAAAGCGGATTGACCTTGTTGATGCAGAAGCTATTTGATGCAGCGGCTATCTGAACTTTGTTTGACCGGTGTGTGAAGCCTTGTAAATAAGCACCAAACTGACATTCTTTTTCTTGTTTTCTCAGTCATGTTTTCATTTATTTAATGATATCAAGGTTTTCTAATCTTGATTTAGCTTACGCAGAATGAATTTTTTTATTTAATCTAATTGAAACACAGGAAAACGAATTTTCTGAACTGACTAACACAGACATTTTCAATTACTGCATTAATTTAACTTAAATAGATTTTTGCAGCCCTTTTCTTTTTTTTTACTAAATACATTTACTAATTTGTATTTGTTAGATTTAAATAATATTTAAACTGAAACATGATTTTTATCATATTGCCTAATCCTGAATATTTATTATTAATTATTCAGAGACGTATACTTGCTATAATGGATCTATAATTAATAACATTTACTGTATGCGTCGGAAAGACATAAACATTAAAAGTGATGAAACATATGGAGAAAACGAATAGTATTGAAGATCAAAAGTCTATTAAACAATACAAAATAGGAGCAGAGCAAATACGGACCTCCGAAACATCGGAGGTTGGATGAGGTGCCATGGAGGAGAAAGTATCCCCTGCCGACCTGTCAGCATTTGACAAAATGATAAATTGTATTTGCTGACAAGGTCATTGTATCGACCATAGAACTTGCGACATGATGATATCAAACAAGACTGCTGAAATTCTTGTTTCATCAAGTTGTTTGTCAATAATTTACCTCTTTTAGAAATAGTTCATAAGTAGAGCATGCTCTTGCGTATCGAATCAACTGAGATATATAAAATGATCGCTCAAACACAATGATTATTCGTATTCTCTATTTATAGATCGAGAATTTATTATATGCTGCCATTCTCAATATCATTTGTTAATAAGGAACTACTTTCTACATTGTTTTCTAGCTTTTCAATTTCTTTCAGAGAATCCTGTTTACTATCACAGTATTTGCTTCCATTGAGATCATCTTCATTCATGATATGGTCTTGTTCAGTTTCCTGAATTACAACCGTCTCTGTGTCTTTCTTTAGTTGATTTATATGTCGGTCACTGGCTCCTGAGCACCAAGCAAAGGTGGAGCCAATTAGAATCACTGCACCTGAAATGAGACACAATATGCAATATGTGCAATATATGTTTAACTCCTTTGAATTAGTCATGAACAGACTAAATATATTCTTAAGCTTGAACAAAATTCAGCATATTCAAAATTTAAATACTGCAGTATGAATACCAAATTAAGACTAACATGAATGATATTTTTAAAAAATCTTTTTATAGCATTAAGTTGTATAAAAAGGAACGAAATTTTAGCTCAGAAAATATGTAAAGTGATATGGATTTTCTATCCCTTACCTGCTACTGTTATTGACTGACTATATGTCCCACCATAGCTAACGATTAAACCTACAAGTTCATTTTCAAAACTTATAATTAAACAATTAAATTTTAGAAAAAATTTAATTGTCATAGTGATATAATTTAGATTCAAAATTATTGGCCGTATGCAATATAAGATAGATAAGAAAGATCAGTACCTCCAAGTAATGGTCCCAAAAAATAACCAACACCTGTAAAAAGCAAAATAAATCCAAAAACAGTGGCCAAGTTTTCAATGCCTCCTAGAATAACGCATATAGAGTTCAACAAGGGATAACACGATCCTGAGTACATCCCTAGTGTCACCACGTAAAACACCTGCCCACCGTAATTTGATCCATACAATGGAAACAATACTGTTGATAGCCCCATAAGACTGAAAGCCCCTGAAAATAAAACGAATTCATCCATGTTGCTAGCATTTGCGGCTGAACCGATTAAAATACGAGAAATGCAGTTGCAGATACCACATATCGAAAAAAGAAAAGCAGCATCCAACTTTCTGTATCCCACAGACGTCACATAGCTTCCAAAATGGACATAAATGAGAGAAATTCCTAAATTACAAAGAAACATGGAAAGATAAACGTTCAATAGAGCTCTTTGAAACAAAACGTTGCATCCAGTTTTCAACCTCTTGAACACTTGGGAAATTTTATTGTTTTCACATTTCGACAAGACTGCATTATCTAATTCCTTATTTTTCCGACTTATTTCTAGTTTGGACGGAAAAAGCATAGCACCAAACACGCAATATTGCAATGTCAACCCTGCACACATCAGCCATAATCCATGATAGCCATATTGGTCGCTAACAGCTTGCATTAGTGGTGCAAGAGCAAATGCCCCTATTCCGACGCCTGAAACTGCTACTCCACTCGCAAAGTTCCTTTTCTTCTCGAAGTTGTACCCAACGACAACTACTGATGATGCATAACATATTCCAATACCAGTACCTTTGAAAAAAAAATATTTCAATTAAATATCTGTGAGCGCTTTGCCCTTCCTATCAGCTACTAAATTTGGTTTGAAATATTAAAAACAATTTCATCAATTAACTTGTTAACAGCTTGAATCCAATCCTAGATATATTCGTTTAGCCAATTTGCAAGTTTATCAAATTAAAACTTTATATAGTTACTCCTTTGTTTGTTAACAAAACGTTGATTTAGAATATTATCAAAGTCTCTAACCTCCCAATATTCCTAGCGAGAACAGAACCATTATGATATTTGGCATGAAGGAAGTCATGACGTGACTTATAGACACGACAATTCCGCCAATTAAGAAAGACACTCGGCAACTCCATCTGTTGGCTATCAAACTCGCAAGTGGTCCTGAAAACCGAAGCAAATTTATACCATAATGATATCTGATTCTTGTACATTGAAAAAAAAATACACTTAATCTCTAATACGTTAGAAATTGATTGATTTATCCACTCAATTTGTTTATATCTGCATTAAATTTAAAGGTTTCATTTAGGGAAATGACTTAAGGATAAATAACACAAACAAACTTTTTTCAGAAATCAGCATTATTTCTCATAGATTTACATTTAAACTGACAACCTGAATAATGTTTACAAAGTAGAGTGGAAGAATTTTATTAGATTTTGTCATAAAGTTAAAAAATTGTGCAAAATTTTGTATGGAATTATATAGAAGGCAAAATAAAATCTCAAATCTAAGCACCAAGGAAAACCTACGATTTCTTTATATTTCAGGGATTTATTATTTATATAAATACAAATCAAAATCAGTCAAAAAATATATATCAACCCGCGCATCCATTTTCTGTTTGTGGTAAGTACCCTTAAAAACATTTGGTCACTTTCTTTCCCATAATTTTATATAACTCTTTTCATTTTTATTATTTTATGCAATAAAAATAATCTTAGTTTAAAGCTCAAAAGAGCAACTGAATGAGTTCTTCAAGAGTAAAAGGACAGCTGAATACCCGAAATCGAAAACAATCCGAGGAAAATCGAAAGCGCCCATGAAGTTTTTAATACGCCTTCTTTGTAGTGGTCCAGTAAAGAGAGCTGAAGCAATCCCACGGCCGTCAAAAAGAAACCATGGATACAATGGGATCCAAAAGAGGCTATAAGAACAGCCCACGACCACCCGTGGTCTGGTAATGTATAGTATCTGGCCATGGTTAAAACTGATTCAAATTGATGTTTTTGTTATCCATATAGCACATCTCTCGACAAACATGTGTATAAAAGAACTTGAAATGAAAAAAATAAGATTACTTCAGTGCATATTATGTTTCTTCTTAAACTTACAATACTAAAAGAAGTACGTCTAACACGTTATTCTACAGATTGCTAAAATTTTAAATTAGAAAAATGAAAAAGAAAACGAAAAAGAAAAATATCAAATTTATTACAGTCATTTTTCAAACTGTCACACTCCGATTTTTTAAAACTTTTCTTTTACTATTATCAATTTTTTTTTCATTTGTTCGATAAATTCTTTGATGAGAGCATATCATCTGTAATAGAAGCTAAGGCCAAATCCTTATTATCTCCTATATACTCCTATATAGGAGTAAAGGACTCGGCCGGAAAAAAAATAATTTGATAGAAAAAATAAACAAGATGGTGTCAGACTCATGAAACCTATATCAGGATTTTTTTCTCATTATGTCATTATCATTATGACGTTTACAGTCACCAGTATGGATTTCAAGCACCTTTAGATGAAACTCTTTGAATGGGCAAGATATCAAGGCTTTGATCACTGTACAGCCATCTCAATTCTATGTTTGTTTCTTAAACCAAAAAAGAAAATATCAACCATCAAAATTATTATTCTAAGCATTATCTGAAATACTAGGGTAAAATTCATATTTTTTTTTACATTTATTTTTGTTAGCATTAATTTTTAACTAAAAACAAAGATAAAACAATTTGGTGCATAAACATGTAAAGAGAAGGATACAAATATTTATTTATCATGCACTGTTCACAACTTGTATTGATCAAGAGTAACGCTCTGAGGTTAATGGCTCTGAAGAATTAATGGTTCACAAATAAATGCAGTGAAACATGACTGTTGATATATGAGTATTCTATTTAATATAATTACCAGATACACTGCTTCCTTGGGGCAAGTCTTAGCTTAATTCCATGAATTTACCACAACAACTGCTTCAACATGTTCAAATTCAATATTTCCACTGAATCTATAAGATACATACATGTATTGATTCTCTATAATTGTAGAATCGGTAATGGAGACCAGGGATAGAGACGAAAAGATTGATAAAATTAAGAAAATGAATTGTGGGAAAAATTCAATCGATACTTATTTACATATACTATTTACATCGATCCTGGCTTCTAAAAATGGAAGCTAAATTTATACAAGGGTTTAAGAGGGTAATAAAAAGTTAAATTGCGGAACATTTAAATTTAAATATTTTGTGGTGAATAATTCTGAATCATGTACTGATAAAGAAATTATTTTGAATTATTTTAAAAGTCAATAGAGCCAATGACTAATAAGTTAGAGGCATTTTTACACCAAAATAACACTTACAGTTTTTGCAGTTTAATATCTTTTCTCAAATGCATCCACACTCCAAAATGAGAGATTTTGCAACAAGTGTTGGAAATTGAATTCTTACATGTAATTTGCAATTCATTTGATGCTTAATGATTATATGCAGAATATTTCGTTATTCAATAAAATAGCAACAAATCTTGCATAAACGCGGACCATTTGAAACACTCCAGAAGCGTAAGGAGAAGGAAACAATCCTTGTCTGACGATTATTTCCGTCTTCAGTCCTCTCTACTGATATGGTGGAGTCCTATTTGTATCATTATTATGATCTAATAATAGTAGGAAACATGTCATAATATGCCACAATAAAGGATGTATTGGCATGTAAGGTGACATCGACTTATAATTTATAATTGAAATTATGTTTAATACATTAATTTTGTATAGATTTTCAATTAAATCTTTTAATATTAATTTGATAACTCTTTTTGTCAAGGAAAGAAGGCCTAAAAATAAGGCTTGAATATACTTTATTTATTCCAATGTTTACATTTTGACTGAAACATCCTTTATACAAACTCTTATGGGTATACCTGTTAACGAAAACCTCTTCCATGAATTTCTTTATTCTCGTATTTGTATACTCTGAACGGTTACGTTTTGATAAGTATTAATTTTACTAGCGTAAAACTAAATTTGTAGTTTTGAAAACTACTTTAGTATACATTAATATAATTATCATAATAGTTTCATTGAAGCAGAATCCTACCTTTATGAATAAAACGGTCCAACATAAATTCCTCCTGTATTGTAAATAGAATGTTTTAAGGTATTACTGATTCTTAAGTTTTCCATTTAAATACCATCATAACCCCAGCAATGTAGTCTCAATACCCCATACAATCACACATCCGGACATTTTTAATCCATGCTTTGGTAGAGACTGTTTCTTTAACTAGTATCGCAATACTATTTGTAATGAACAATATTTATAACGTTTATTCATTCATAGTGAACGCCCTAGTAAACGTAATAGGATGCCAAGGTCATTAATATTCATTCAAATGCTCACGGATACCCCTGGCTAGTCATTGGTTATGTTGCATTACGAGAGATATATTGTGTATATACAATTTATTATGGATGAATGACCTGTAAAAATAAGCCAAACAACAATTTTGATCGGGGAAACAAAATTAAAATGAAAAAAATCTTAAATCGAGCATTAAGGTACTCCTCAGGTCCTGAAAATCATGCATTGACTAATTGCAAATGATCGCAAAATGTCTTTGAATTATTTAACTTATGTGTTTTTACCCAAGATATTTCTTCAGTCTTCATCTTTTAAAGTTAATCATATTATACAGGGAAAATTAGAAAATCTCAAGTTGATTTTACTTGAATGCGAATGAAAACACCTACTATGCATTTACCAATTCAAATTAGATCAACAAACACATTTTAGAAATGAAACTCATAGGTATCCAGGCGTTTGAAGATTTTGCACATTTTATACATATAAGGTACTAAAGTTTCCTCTACTTACTTCGATCATTTTACAATGCATATAGTATAATGATTTTCCTATCACTGCAAAACACTGGTACATGTATCTATAGTTAGATTAAATAAACCTGAATGTCGTTGTGTATGTAATTTTATAATACGTTTATGGGTAAAAAAAATTCTACTTTTATAAGAACTTTCTGAGAACTTTAAAGAACCTTGACGCACATTGAGAGATATAAAAAATAAAAACTTCTTGCAAGAAAAAAATTAATTTTCAAGTCTTTTTATGAGTTTCTGTGAATTTAATTAAAAATTAAAGAGTTATCATTCCTGGCTGACGATCGGACAACCTTAATAGCATTAATGACAATATTATAAAAAAAAAATAATATCACATTGTTTAGTAACTGTGCTGTTGATCAATGACCATCAATAAAGTCGTATACTTGTGTTCTCTCCCTTCTGCTCTGAAAAACAATTAATTGTATACATAAAACTGTTTGGGCAAGGACATTTGGTCAGTTTCTACTGAGTAATTGAATTCTCCTCTGAGAACAAAAATTACTGAAAAAAATATATGTGCTCTGGAATTACGCATGCTTGTATTACGCATATCTTCACGACCAGTGATCAAAACCTCTAGACCATTCTCTGTCTGAAGTGAGTTTATTTTCAATGTTCATCAATGTAATCAAGCTAAGAAAAGTTGTACATTACGCCTCAAATATGCCTTTAATTTCAAAGCTACATATGTGCTAATAAGCACTTCAGCTTTCTGTTTGATGTAGTAGGGAGTCTGATAAAGCACACTTGAGTTCTAGGCACGAACATTCTTTTTTAAACCAAAACAATCTATTGACACATACGTTAGTTGAAAATATGATACGCATTGTCAAAACCAACCCATGCCATTACATGTATTACTACGATTTTACATGTACTTGAATGAATCCTGGCGTATGCACAAAACAATTAAATAACATCCTTCATCTTATATCAGCAGCGTCCAGGAAATATATATAGAATGTTATTTCTTATTTTTAAAAAATGCAAATTGAAAAGTATAGATTACTTACAGTGCTAATCTTGTTACTGCAAAACGTTCAGTGAAAAACAGCTGCATAAAAAGCATTAAAATTATCCTTACAAATAATATGCATCAAAAACATGAGTACGCATCTACATCACAAATATTTACCAAGGATACGTTGTCACGTGACATCAAAAAACAGGAAATATGTTTGGATCACAATAAAGGAAGTCAAGTGAATGTAGGGCGACTGAAAATGTACGTATAAAAAGAGACAATGCTTGTTTATTCCTGAAAAAAACAACAAAAATATATGTCTAAATATTCTATAAAATGTTCAATTACATGGTTTTTTTTTTGGTTTTTTTTTTTTGTTTTTTTTATACAGTTTAATGACATATGAGACAAACAAAAATGTGGATGCCAGGAATGTTACCTATATATTTTTGATCTACTTTAGTTAGTCACTTAAAATCTAATTATTGTGAATCTTTAAATAAAAAATTAAAAGCTGTGCATTTACTCATATATAAATATAACTTTGGTTGTTATTAACATAATTAATAATTAAAGTTTGTTTGTGTCATCTGCTTTACTGTTTATAGAAAAAAAAATACAATGCAAGAATTGTAGTGGGACAGTAAAAGCTTCCTAATGTTTTAAACCCTTTAAAATCAAATTTCCGTACATTATTTTTTTAATGTTTTGAAACCAGGTATGAATGTAAAATCAGAGATAAGATATAACCCCTGTTATACATTTTTTGGTATTAATTTTGTAGAAATTTCAGGAATTCATTCATAAAATTGATTTTCTACTTTTAAAAAAATGTATTATAAAACAAAGTTAATTTAATTATTAAATATGACCTTAGACACATTAAAAATTAGCAATAGCAAAATGTTTCACAAAGAGGTCATTTATTTACTTCTATACGATCACAATCATCAAGGTTTGATATGAAAGGAGTTTCTTCAAGGTATGCACTGTCCTTGACCTTTTTCGTCTCGTCCTTGACCCTCTCCACAAGTGAACATTCAGTATTTCCTTTTCTTACACAATAATCTGTCTCTGGGTCACCTCCATAATCCCTTTCAATGACGACGTTATCAACGTACTTTGTGGTCTGTTCTTGAGCTGTCTCGCTTTCCTGAAAAATTATCCTCTCTTCTGGGTTCTGAGTAAAAGTTCCACGATGTTCGCCAACTCCTGAGCCCCAAGCAAAAACAGAACCAATCAGGATTATTATACCTAAAAGAGAGAAATCTCAAAATGTACAACGATTTTTTTTTAAAAAAAATTTAATACCTGCATCGTAGACACAAAAATGCTGGAAGATGGACATGATATTAAAAATCAGATTTTTATTTGTTCGCTGATCAGTTGTGGCTTCTTACCCGCCGCTGCAATTGACTGACTGTATGTACCACCAAGGTCAACAATGAAACCTAAAAAGTGTATTTACTAAAATATTTGTAAAAACTATGAGAGACTAAGATAATAAAAATAATTTTTGTCATCAGTGTAACTTACATATATTTTTTTTTCAAAAACCAAATAACACATGTATATTCACCTCCTAGTAAAGGCCCTATAAAACAACCTATACCGGTGAAAAACGAAATCAAGCCATACACTGTGGCTAGATTTGTAATCCCAGCAAGAATTACACATATGGAATTTAACAGGACAAAGCATATTCCTGAGTACAATCCAAATGACACCATATAAAAAACCTGTCCTCCATAAATGTGTCCATAGAGTGGAAAAACCACTGTTGTTAATCCGGTAAGGCTAAATGTCCCTGCGTATAGTACAAATTCATCAACATTGTTTACATTTGTAGCTGAACCAACCAGAATTCGAGAAATACAATTGCAGATTCCACATATGGAGAAAAGAAAAGCTGCCTCTAATTTACTGAATCCGATGGATGTTACATAACTCGCAAAATGAAGATAAACGAGATAAATTCCTAAATTACACAGAAACATGGATATGTAAATGTTTATAAGTGCTTTTTGTGACACAGCTCTGCATATGTCTCTCAGTCTCTTGGGTTTCGGTGAAAGAACAGTACTCTTGCGATTCAAATCTTTCATCTTTTCTTTCTTTTGATCCATTTCCAGCTTGGAAGGAAAAAGTAAACAACCAAAAACACAGTATTGTAATGTAAGACCTGCACACATAAACATTAAGCCATGATATCCATAATGATTGCTAACAGATTGCATCAATGGCGCTAGAGCAAAAGATCCAATACCAATACCCGATACCGCTATCCCACTCGCAAAGTTTCTTTTCATTTCAAAGTTGTATCCTAGAACAACAATGGACGGTGTAAAGGTGATTCCTATTCCAATTCCTTCAATTAAAGACAATTTCATAATTTAATTATGTCAAATATAAATACATGTATTCGATATATTTTTTGTTAATATTTGATTATTAATAATTTATAGATACAAATCTTTTAATTACAAGTACTTTAGCTTCTTTAGTAGAAAGTATATTATGATAACGGAGTAAAAGAACTCCCATTATTTTTGTAAAGTATCCTAACTTTGTGTTTTAATACCATGATTTTTTTTTAAAAACTGTGAAATATTTTACCACCAAATATTCCTAGTGAAAAGAAAACAAGAATTATATTCGGCATAAATGAAGTCACCAGGAGACTAAGGGACACAATTAGTCCACCCATTACCATTCCTACTCGGCAACTCCATTTATTGATTATCAAGCTGGCAATTGGTCCTGAAACGCAGAAAAAAAAACAAGGTATGTCATCTGGTCACATCATTCTGGAACATACTTCAATGTTTTTATTCAATAGTAAATTTGCTGAACTTGTTTATGCAATATACATAAAATTAAGCAACTTTTAAAAATGTTATTTGAAAACACCAAAGTGTGCAGGAATCGTTTACATGCTGTTACATCTAATGAATTCCAGTTTTATTTATAAAACTGACCTGATATGGAAAGTAATCCTATAAATGTAGAAAGTGGCAATGAAGTTATGAACACACTTTCCTTGTAGTGGTCAAGCAAGGACATCTGAAGAATCCCCACTGCAGTCAGAAAGAAACCGTGGATGCAATTTGATCCAAAAGAAGCAAGAAGGACAATCCAGGACCATCCTTGATCCGGAGATGTAAAGTTTCCTTTCATGACCAGTCCTGTACTACCAAAAGAGAGGCCTTTTCTTTGTTTTAGATATAAATATTAGGAAACTATCATCACTAAAAAGAATGTAATATATTTTTGGGTATTTGCATTATTCGGCTGAGAGAGATGACAGATGCGAGCTCTGATAAACATAGATGCACCGGCCACTCGGGTTTGACCTTTTTACCTTTTGACCTGAATGGATATCTGTTTGTTTATCGAAGGATGTGGTTTAGACAAAGCAACAACCAATAGTATTTAAGTGACCGTAGTTCAGTTATTGATACAAAATATATTTGAAGAGAATGCAAAAGGATTGAAAAGGGTTTTAAAAGTGCAATTAAAAATTTAAGGAGGGTTTGAGGACGGATTATGTCAGCTGAAATTCAGAGCAAAGTCATTATTGCAAATTATGAAGAAATGATAAAATATGTAGGGCATGCACGGAGACTTGGAAATGGAACCTCTTTAAAACCAAACAAATAGTTATTGGAGTTATAATTTTTACACTATATCATAACAATAATACATAGTATATATTTTGTTCAAAAAGATTAACATCACTTATATAAAACAAAATGTGAAACAAAATCTTCATATTTAAAGCTTTGATAAAAATTTCCTATTTAAAACCATATTTTGTTTTAAATTATATCATTTGCTTATTTTTACTTATGTACATTTTTTTTTCAAATTTCTTCGTTTTAATTAATGATCATTAAAGATTTATGTTGATTTTTATGTATCATTTGTATTTCACATATAGAGACAACACCATATACAGGTTCAGGGCTTTTTTACTTTTAAAACCCATTAAGGACATTGAGAGCAACGTTACCGTGGCACAGGACCTTGGTTTAATCCCCACAACTGATCAAGTGTTCCTACATATGCACAATTGAAAATAATCGACTTTCATGAAACATTTTTTCAAAATTTCTCTTCATGTAAATTATTTACATGAACTTAAAAATTATATTAATTTATTAAAATACCCCAAACCATAAAACAAGATGTCTGTGAGCCAATGCGATGTGAATATGCACTTTAATTTATGTTTATTATTTATATAACAAAAATATTGAATACCATGTCTCAAAAAAGTATCTGCTAAATTTCAGCATCAGTGATGTGTTGCTGCTGAGAAAGAAAGTGCAATGAAAAATTTGTTTTGTATAGTACTGACAGACGTAGGGATAAACAGGAAATTGACATCATATTTGAACAACAATGAATCCCACCATATGGCTCAGCAAAGAATGTGCTAAAAATTAAAATAGTTGCTGAGATAACTGCAATCAAAAATTTGTTACGGACAGACAGAAAGACACACACTCAAGGTTAAAACAGTATACCCCTCTCCTTAAAATCAACTGCACTTACTTATATAGAATTAAATGGTATAATTTTCCTACCTATATAAAATTCATTCTTCCGTAAAGCAAGGCCTTGAAAAATAACAGTCCTTTTTTTAAATATGCTGAAGGAAAATAAACCTTTATAATTATACTGCAATCTAGTTGTTCTCAGTACTTCAGAAACATGTAATCAGGATTGTCAGATACGCAAGATAGACATTTGGTTCAAGAAAATAAGTCCTTTTAGAACAGGCAGCACAACAGCTATTGAAAATTTAAATCTTATTTCACACTTGCTGAATACCAGATATTTAAAATGGATCGGCTGCTGCCTGTATATATGCTGTATTTATGAAAAAAGCCAGTAGGTGTTAAGGGACTTGTGTAGACTCTTATCCTAAAAAAATTCAAATTGTTAAGTTTCGTTATTTTACCCTTTTGCGAGGAGAACAGACTTTATACAGTCGACGGCTTACGTTTACGCTTAGACAATATACAAAAGGTCTTTTGCAATAAAATATTTATAGTTCAGTATTTTATTAATTAAACGAAAATGATGGGCAGAAATAAAGCGCATATAAGTTGTCCGACAAAACATGAAGAATCCGACTACTACTCACCCCCCAAATACCACCCTTTACATGTTAGCGCCCCAAACACCATACCTATGACCATTGGAAAGGTTTTCTTATCTATCATCTCTGTATCTCCGTACATGACACAGGTTTGAATGTCCAAGTAAACCGTCAACTGTAAAAGTCAGTGCTTCTCGCAAAAGTCTAGTTCTTGCTTTCATAGATTTCGCGGGTATACCCTAACAATATAGATACTATTATAGTGTGTTATAGTTAATTATAGCTTGCAATAGTAAATGGAAATTTCAAAGTTTTCACTGCTAGCATACCAGAGTTAAGATGTATCGAGAACGTATAATCAATTGACAATAGATTTTTTCCCTCTCATATGTCGACTCGATATATCCCGGCGAACTTGAAAGAGAGGATACAAAGAGCCTGACATCTGTTTCATATTCGATTTTTTTTACTTTAAAAAGTTTTTCGAACAACAAAATATTGTGATTTACAGAATGACTTTAGTTTCTTTAACGTCAACTTGTCTTACTTGCAAAACTGTATTTGTTTGGAAGTTTATGTCTCCCAGTCAATTCAATACGAGCATGAACATAATTTACGTTTGAATAATTTCTAAAATGATACACTTATTTACGAAAAAATAAAATTAATGAAACAATCATATTAACAGTCCTGTTTAAAGTTATAATTTTGTTAGTTCTTCGGTCAATACAATGACCTTATCAGCAAGTTCAATCTATCAATATGTCGCTTATACTGACTGACGTTTTTCATACCACTGTTGGACCATTATTCATACATTGAATTTGTCATGAATTTTCCTTTTATCCATCATGACAAGAAGCATACGGCAGGTGTGAGCGGGGATGCTCACTCCTCCATGTACCTGATCCATCTATAGTTAATTAAAATATCAAAGTTTTCACTGTGGAAAAGTTATTAGTATAGTTAATTAAAGTTTTCACTACAGTCATACCAAGTAACAAAGAGTACGCTATTGGAACTCAAAGTTAGAAAGTTAACTTTGATGCTATAATTAACTAGTGTATAATTAATACATGTATATATTTTGTTCAATAAAGTACACGATCAAATATATTTAACAATTACATATAGTATTTTTTCTTCGACGTGATTTTGAAATATACAATCTTCCGATTGGTTTGACAAAAGATCTCATCTTCGAATTTATTTGATTTTAGTCATTTGTAGTCCATAGACCCATATTTCATTTTGATTCATTATGTCTACATTCTGACAAAATCCGATCTGCAAGTGTTCCTACATTGCGACGTAAAATAAACTGTAGAACTTTTTTTTTCTCTTCATGTAACATACTTATAAATTATATTAATATCCCCAAATTGAACAATCAGAACGAACAATTCTTCTTTTATTATTTATATAATAGTGTTGCATTATGCATGTACTATGCCTAAATAGTAGGCAGGGTTTGACACATGGTGCACGAGCCGGAGGCGAGTGCACTATGTGTCAAACCCTGCCTACTATTTAGGCATAGTACATGCATAATGCAACACTATTGTTATTATTATGCTGACTGTTGTAATTATTTATGCGGCAATCTATTTGACTTTTTCCTGAAAATATCGGTGCTTAAAAAGCGCACCTGCAAGAACTAATTCAAAATATTCATGCTAAAATTGTTTGCATGCTTAGTTATTTTGGTTACTAGTATTTTCTCTAAATAAGTCGGGATTTTCTGTCCCAAAGCAACACAATCTTTATTTTCTGTTTTGTTCGTAAGCCTTATTTGTTTGCAGACGTCGATTCTCATTGATAATTTTCTTTTACATCCTTCAATCAAGCGTCATATTAAAAAACGTTTTAATGACCCTATAAAATCAGTTCATCTAACGATCTGTATGTAATTAGTTTGAAAGTTTGTTGTACACATTAATCTAAAGTTCCTTAGAATAATATAACTGTTTTCAAATAATATTTGTCTATTTTCTCCTTCTTGTGTCAATTGTATAAATTAAGTTTATATATTTAATAAAATTGCACCAATCAGTGATCGTCTCTATGGCGTAATCGATAAGGCATCGGACTGACAATCTCATGGTCGTGAGTTCGATCCCCGGCATGTGCATGGAAGAATTTTATTCAGTAGATCTTAATAAAGCCGTGCACTATTTCGGCATAGTATGCTTACGCTATATAAATCCTTAGACCACTATGCGAGAATAGTAGGGTATGGGTTATATAGAGACAAACTGACAGGAAGCATAATAATACAAAATAGATTGTAATCCAAAGTTTGTGTAACCACCAGTATATGTATCCATCAGCTTCAATATTTGAAAAAAAAATCAAACTTATACCAAATATCTCAATGTCTGAATGTAACAATTAAAAACAATCAAATGTTATAGAGTTGTAGGAAATGAAAAAAAAATGCAAAATGAATGTGTATTCATTGAATAGAATGAAAATGTTGACCCAAAGAATAGAAACACCATAGCAATGTACTCACCTTCACTGTTCAGTTACAGTTATTGTTAAAAAAGAGCATACTTGATTCATATTATGTACAAAAAACCTTTCTCTTTCAAAATTTAGATTTAAACTTTTATTCGGCATTTAAATAAGAAAAACAATAATATTTTATAATTATTTTTAGTTTACAGGGTAATATGATTGCTGAAAACACAAATTCTTGGTCTTGGTGTAAAAAACAAATATTATATTGATAAAATTGTATGTGGTTTTATTTGCATTTTTTTTTTTTTTTTTTTTTTACATTTTATTGTTATTACAAAAAAATTTGGTTTTAAAAGGGACCTTTCGTCCTCTTCCTTGACATTCTTATTTATCCGTGGAATTAATTTCATCTTGGTTATTCAACCATCATTTATGTAAGAACGCAATTTCCATTTTTCAAATAAAATAAATTGTGATCTAACGTGTTGGTGAGATTATTTTTTTGTTCATCAAATTGTTAATGCAAACATTGAATTATCAATAGATTATTCAAAACCGTATCATTGCTGAAGTCTACTTCAGAGACCTTAAAAATAAAATTCTCGAAGTAAGTGTTTTGTAAACTTATGTTTGACTTCATTATATTGCACGGACTCCAACAAATGCGAACCAAAAATGTTTTCTCTAACTGGATTCGGCAAACGTTCGCTCCATGACGACAAGGTCATAGATTCTTCTTTTTCGTAGCAACTAACCAAAGTCCATCAAAATGATTGATAGGAACTGTTCCTTCACCAAGCACGCGGTGCTTTGAAGTGAAATTTGCGGGTAATTCGGGGTAGACCTGAAGAACCGAGGCTACGTGTTACGGCAAACGTCTGTAAGAAAAGGATCCCTCACTGCCCGATGGACCAGGGTGCCAAGGTCTAAATTTGAAGCTATTCATCGGTATATGGTGATATCATTATATAAGTGAAAAATACTTGAATTGGACGTAAAACAAAATACAATCAATCACTTAATCAAACAGTGCCTCTCTCATGTTTAAATCACGCATCAATTGCATGTTTCTTCTGAACAATGATGACTAGCTATTTCATTTTTTTTTTCAAGGTACACCTATTCTAAAAATTATCATACTAACAAATACAAAAAGCTCTTACATAATAAAGATCGTTTTACTATTGCATAACAACTCAGTTATTCAGAGTTACTAAGTCTTGATATGGATTCTCGGGTTAAAGCAAATTACGTGTTTTATTATGGCGTAATACATCTCTGTCTATTTTGCGATAAAAAGGCTTTGCTTTTTTCGATCAAATCATTTACTCATGTCTCCTAGTGTATAAAGATGGCGTATATGAAACTATTTTCTTGATTTGTAATACGACAATTGATAAAAATTGTAAGAGGTCATAAAATCCACTTTATTCTGTAGTGTTAGGTAATTTTAATGTGTAAATATAAGTATTAAACGTATGTGTTTTTTGAAAATTTCATTCTTTTTTTTTTCTTTTCTTTTTTTTTTTTGCTGAATAATTGAGTTTTCGGTTTTGATATTTGTGGACGGCGTATTTTGATGTGTATAAATTAGAAACAAACTTTTCAAGTAGACATACACAGGGAAAAGTGGCTCACATAATATTTACATATAATATTTATGTCACTATCTTTGTATTTGAAAATTATATGAATTTCATGTAAAAATCATATAAATATTTTTTCATGTGAATTTCATGTGAATAAGTTTGTATGATATTCACCTATTTTTATAAAATCTTTCACATAAAGTTTTCTTTGCACGATATTTATGCGATATGCTCTTCATGTAAAATTCATATAAATGTAAAGTCAAAATCATTTGAAGTTTTCATATAAATTTCGAATGTTTTGTTTCTCTTCTCCTTCTCGTTCTAAGAATTCACATGAAATTCATGTAAAATTTATGTGAGTTACTTTTGCCCTTGTGTCTGAAAATGTTAAAAAAAAATTACCTACATGAAAGTCTATGTGACAATAATTAACATGTCAGTTTCAAAAGTCCTCATATTTAAATTTTTTTTAAAGTTTAAACGCAGCAAAATACACTCAACGTTTGAATTTCTCGCTGCTTTATATCATTTTACACGAGTTTCTCCGTGTATATTCATCGCTTGGATATACACGTAGATGGCATTCAAATAAAGTTCATATAGCTGATTAAGCAGAAAGAAACAACAAAGCAACATATATGCAAATAGATAACATCGTCTGTTGGCATTTTGAATGCTTCTATTTTTCGGATGAGTGATGCAAAGCGTTGGTTTACAGTTGCGCCTTTTTTATATGACACATGATCTATAAGCTACTGAAATATATATATCATGCATGATTTACAGACCATTAAAGAAAATAATGTCTTTTCATTATAATTTTGCTAATTTGTGTCAGTAACTCGGTGAAATATATGATGTGTTGTGGAAGTTCTAGAAGGCCATTTATTTGTGAGAATTTCATCTTCTTTTTTACCATTTCCGTGCAATTAAACGCTTTAAATATCTTGAGTTTAAGTGTGGATGATTCATATAAGAGTAAAAATTACTAGAATTGTACATGAAACAACATACAATCTATTAAATAAATAGTACATTGTATTTTATTTAGATGAAAAAATAAATGAATCAATTTGAATTTTCATTGAATTTATTTCTAGCAATGAGAATCAAAATAACATAAAAAATAAATAATACAAATCTACTGAATTCCATACGTGCAAATAAATGTTATTATTATACTTTCATGTTAAATACTAAAATCTGATTGGTTTAGACGCATTAACAATCCGTTCGATTACCCTGAGCCTTAGCAACACACATGACAACGGGTAACACAACGGTAATGCCAAAATTATGCGCGTAACCGTAGAATTCTCTATACGTCAGTTGCGCGTTTGAAAGAACCGGAATTAACTTGACGCCAATAAAAGCTTGCGTCCGGTATAATCAATTTGAAACTTTATAAGATAAATGACTCATTTAGTGAACCGGTGAAAAGCTTTCTATACATGAACGTAAAGACGATCAAAATTTTTTTTTTTTTGCTGAACATAAATCAATAAGACATAATACAAAATCTACTGAATTTTGGAGGGTAATCCAATTGACACCCCTCGGAAAACCATAAACCTCCGCTGACGCGTCGGTTGACAATGGTTTTCCTTGGGGTGTCATGTTACCCTCCAAAACAGGCACCATTTATATAACGCATGTGCTTATTGTTACAAATAGATGTTTAAAGTTGATCCAACATTTAAAAATGTTTCTATCATATCACAGTTATCAGGTATTATGCATCAAAATAGTACAGACCTTTTAGATTAATATATAACTGAAGTTGTGGTACACATCAGGCAACGTAAATTTTGAACAAACTTTTTTGAACGTGGTAATCTATATCATAACTAAGTTTAATAACTTCTTAATAAACCAAAGTGCATTTAGGTTTCAACTTTGCAAGCAGTAATAACAATTGTTAATACTTCATGCGTTGAAGTGTAATTCATTTGTTGCTGTGTCAACTTTTATTCAAACTCTCTGCTTAAAATAAATTTTAAAAATGATACAAGGTCAATTTTTTTCATAATTTTAGGAATCTTCGATGTTTCTTCAAATTTTAGATTTTTGAAAAATGAATCTGACTTATCTTTGACGTTCAGTATTTGTTATAGCTTTAATATGTGTTCAGTATTTGTTAAGATACGTATAAATATACTGTTTATGTTATTTAGTTATTTTATAACTAAAATATTCAAAAGTAGCTTGCTTGCCTTTTTTCATAGAATCATTTCAATTGGTTCTAGTTATTAACACTCTTTGCTTTCTTGTATATTGACGCCTCCACTTGCACTTGCTATCAAAGGACTGTCTTCTAAGTCAGCATAGTCCTTGATATTTTTGGATGATAAAATTTCATTGCAGTCCCTAATTTCTGAATCATTTTTGACGTGCTTCTTTTCTGTGTTGATTTTGTCCTTTTCCATGAGGTGTTCATCGGAAGACTTATTTTCCCGATGGTCATACACAACCATTTCATCGTCATGTTTAATTGGAATCCCTTTTCGTTCACCTACTCCGGAGGCCCATGCAAAAACTGAGCCAATTACCATTGAAACGCCTGTAAAACAAAGTGATATGAATTACATCAAAACAAGTAATGTGGTTTTGGTTTAGACCTTGAAGGGATAGAGGGAAATGGGTGTTGCCTAGCTGTGTGTTCGAGCATGTATCCTTTAAGGACAATATTTGCAACAATCGACATATTTATGTTTTATTTATGATCTTCTCCTCGGATAGTCGCCCGCATGGCGCAGTGGTTAGAGCGTCTGCTCTAGAGTTGCGAAGTAAGGAGTTGATACTTACGTCGCGGGTTAGAATCCCACTGTGCCACGTGGAGACCGGTCCATCGGAAGAGACCGTATAAACCGAGGTCCCGTGTAGCAGTAAGCTGCTGACACAGAAAGATACCTCCCTGCTCAATGGTCCTGATAGACGAGTATAGGACAAAATTTGCAGCTCTCCACCGGAAAATGGTAGCGTCACCATATGAGTGGAAAATTCTCGAGAGGGACATTAAACAACATACAATCAATCAATCTCTTCAGATAATGGAAATGAGTTAATCGCAACCTATGCTAATTATTTAATCAAGATTTTTCTTATGAAGAAATTTCATCACCGCAAAATACTTTTACAATTCTCCTACCTGCAACTGCAATGGACAGGTCATAACTTCCTCCAGAACTAACAATGAATCCTGTACAATTATAAATTCATGTGTTGAAGAAATTTATTTCAAATAAGGAACATCAATACTTTGTATCTTTTTTAAATAACAATACATTTGCAGTTATTTTTAATTCTTACTTATATTAAGTAAATAATTACCTCCCAACATAGGTCCAATAAAAGTACCAACTCCAGTGAAGAGCATAGTGATGCCATACACCATAGCTAGATTTTTAACACCTGCTAGCATTACAGAAATAGAATTCAACAATGAATAGCAGGAGCCGTTATAGAGTCCTAGTGTTATCATATAGAAGATTTGACCACCATATGTTTTTCCATAAAACGGAAATAGTACGGTTGTTATACCTAACAAACTGAAAGTTCCTGCAAACAACACAAATTCATCCATATTGCTGGCATTAGCGGCTGATCCTACTAAGATCCGAGAAATACAATTACAAATTCCAGAAATGGACATCAAAAGAGCAGCATCCAGCTTGCTGAATCCGACAGAGGTCACATAACTGGCAAAATGGAGATATATAAGATAAACTCCTAAATTACTAAAGAACATGGACAAGTAAACATTTAAAAGAGAAATTGAAAATAATACTCTGTGTTGTGCTCTGAACGCTTTGAATGTATTTGAGAACCCTGTGATGTCCTGTTCTTTCCGTGCATCCTCTTTTACTTTTTTCTTTCGTTCGTTTTCAAGTTTTGATGGGAAAAATAAAGTTCCAAACACGCAAAATTGCAACGTCAGACCTCCACATAACAGCCACAATCCATGATACCCAAAGTAGTCACTTATCATTTGCATCAATGGTGCTAGTGCAAAGGCACCAATGCCTACCCCCGATACTGCTACTCCGGTAGCAAAGTTTCTTTTCTTCTCAAAATTGTATCCAACAATCACAACGCAGGTTGTGTAGCACATTCCCATTCCTAATCCTTTAAAAGAAAGTACAATTTTTTTTCAAGATAATAGATTTTGTTTCATGCAGATGGTTTCCATCCAAGACGATATTCGTGTATTTTGTGTTTGTGACAGTTGACATATTTTTAATAACTTTAATAAATATATATTTTTACAAAAAAATTATCTAAAATTATTAAATACAAGAGGCCCACGGGCCTTATAGGTCACCTGTGCATTATGCAACAACTTTCCAGTTACTGAATTTGATTCATGTTTTAAGCCAGATGCTATATGGCATTCACAATTTTGAAAGAGGCACCATTGATCATCATAACAATACATTCAGCAGTTGCTTAGCTTGGTTACTGAATACCCATACGCAGGGTAGGGGAACAAAAATGCATTCCAACTAATCAGTAATATTCAGCAATAATCAGTAGTGCCCCTAACACTGTGACATAAACCCCTGACCCTAGGTCCACACATTGCACAAATTCTAAAAAGGCACTTGAAATTCACAATTCTGGAAGATTAGGGCCCTTGCTCATCATAACTATATAGGTAGTTCATCTGCTTCATACCCAGAGACAGAGAAGAAAATTTTCAAAGATTTAATGTATTTTCACTATATAATCAATAGAGCCCCGCCCTAACACCAGAACCCCTGACCCTAGGGCCATAAAATTCATAATTTTAGACGAGGCATTCTTGCTCATCATAACTATGTACTTAGTTAATTTAATTTCTAGGAGCAGAGAAGATTTTCAAAGAATTCGACATGTATTTTCAATATATAATCAAACGAGCCCTGCCCTAATACAAGAATCCCTGACCCTGGGACCATAAAATTCACAATTTTGGTAAAAGCACTCTTGCTCATCATAACTATGCACTTAGTTAGTTTATTTAATACCTAGGAGCAGAGAAGAAGATTTTCAAAGAATTCATGTATTTTTACTATATAATCTATAGAGCCTTGCCCTAACACCAGAATCCCTGACCCTGGGACCATAAAATTCACAATTTTGGTTGAAGCACTTTTGCTCAACATAACTATGCACTTAGTTAGTTTATTTAATACCTAGGAGCAGAGAAGAAGATTTTCAAAGAATTTATGTATTTTCACTATATCATCAATAGAGCCCCCCCACCAGAACCCTTGACCCTGGGGTCATAAAATTCATAATTTTGGTTTAGGCACTCTTGCTTATCATAACTATGCACTTAGTTAGTTTATTTAATACCTAGGAGCAGAGAAGAAGATTTTCAAAGAATTCATGTATTTTCACTTTATCATCAGTAGAGCCCCCCCCCCCCCCCCAACACCAGAACCCTTGACCCTGGGGCCATAAAAATCACAATTTTGGTTGAAGCACTTTTGCTCATCATAACTATGTACTTAGTTAGTTTATTAATACCTAGGAGCAGAGAAGAAGATTTTCAAAGAATTCATGTATTTTCACTATATAATCAATAGAGCCCCGCCCTAACACCAGAACCCCTGACCCTGGGGCCATAAAATTCACAATTTTGGTAGAGGCACTCTTGCTCATCATAACTATGTACTTAGTTGGTTTATTTAATACCCAGGAGCAGAGAAGAAGATTTTCAAAGAAATAATGCATTTTCACTATATACTTATTTAGCCCCGCCCTAGCACTAGAACCCCTGACCCCAGGGCCATGAATTTCACAATTTTGGTAGATGACTCAATGCTGATTACAATCATGCAAACAATTTGACTGCTTGATGTCCAGGAGTAAAGAAGAAGATTTTTAAAGATTGCATCAATTTTAGTAGTTTTGGCCCCAACCCTCAGGCCCCAGGGGGCAGGGATCATGAAATTCGAAATTTTTGTTCCCCTTTACCCATAGATGCTTTGTGCCAAATTTGGTTGAAATTGGTTCAGTGGTTGCAGAGAAAAAGCTGAAAATGTTCAAATGTTAACACACGACGGACGACGCACGACGACGGACGAAAACGGATAGCAATTATAGGTCACCTGAGTTTACTCAGGTGACCTAAAAAGTTAAAAATTTTATTTACCGCTAATGATTCCTAGTGAGACGTATACAAAAAAAATGTTGGGCATGAAAGCAGTCAAAACATGTCCAATAGAAACGAGGAGTCCTCCAGTTACCATGGCAACACGTGAACTCCATTGGTTTGCTACCAGACTTGCAAGCGGTCCTGGAAACCCAATGAAAATGAGGAAATTATGGTTACATTTTTTTTTCAACATATTTTCTCAAAAAAAAAATAAATAAATCATCAGATAGATTTATTATCTCAATTACATTTATTGGCAAATTTCTATGCTACAGATCTAACTGATGAATTTTATAACACTAACATGAGATGAAATAAGAACATTTTACACTGTTCAATCTTAAAATGTTTCAAAACGTTGTGTATGAGCTCATAGTAATAATGATGTACCGATCTAGATGTAGTTTCTAACCTGTTGTGGAATACAATCCTAGAAAAATAGAAAGTGCCCATGATGTTTTCAAAACGTTTTCCCGGAAGTGGTCTAGTAGAGACAGTTGAAGCACCCCGATCGCAGAGAGAAAGAAACCATGAATACAGTGTGACCCAAAGGAGCTAAAAAGAACCACCCACGACCATCCTTGATCAGGTAGAGTAAGCTTAGGATGCCTGGTCATATTTGATGAGTCAGAGTAAATCAAAACATCTTATTTTTAAAGTTCTTTCTAACTTTGAAATTTTTAAGTCTGGAAATAATTTGTTTCTCTACTTAAGTTTTCATCAGATTAATAGGAATAAAAATTCAATTTAATCAAAGCTCTTAGATCTTTTCAAAGATTGCATTAGCTAGCCAAAGTAAGGAATGCACGGCTTTCTTTGCATATCAAGAAACGTTCTCTTTTCGACAAATTCATCCAGCTTATATTGTTGGCGTTTTCTTTATAACTAGTTAACTCCATTTCTCAGAAAATGTTGTTTTCGAAAATGTTTGCATGTTTGTGATCAATCGAAGAATCTCATAATTGTTGCTGTGGTATGACTTTATGGAATCTTTTCCCCAAGTATATTTCAGGGATCTAAATGAAGGAAAAGAGGAATATTATTGCGTATGAATACATGTACAGTTGAATAGAACAATAAAATTTACTGTTGGTTGTATCACATATTTCAGGTGCAAAGAACATATATCCTGACGTTAAAAAAATATACTTAACGCTACTTTTGGGTGTTTCGGAGTGAAATTTTTTGTATACGTCCAAATTAATTTTTTTTAATGCTTGATTTTCTGAAGTCAAACTGGCATTTAAGTTTTTTTTTGTGGAGTCGATAACTAAATCAACTTTTTCTATATTTTTTGAAACATGAATGATTTAAATTGTGTAAGTTAAAGAAAAATCTTATTTTTATCAGAAAGAAAAGAATTAAAAAGATCTCTTCTTTTAATTTTGGCTATTTGAACTTATCATATCAAAAATAAGCTATAAATGGTTTTAAGGTCTAAATCTAATAGCTAAGCTAGGCATTAGCTCAGCAAAAATTAAACAAGAGGCCCATGGGCCACATCGCCCACCTGAGCACTGTAGGTTGGAAAAAAGCAGAAATCAGTTTATTATTGAAGAGTTTAAACCCAAAAGTGGTCCCAACCAATCCTTAAAGGGGAGAGGGTATGCTTTGAACAAACCTGAATCTACACTAAGGATGCTTGCATATTTCTTTGACTACCTGTGGTTTTTTATTGCCCTTTACATTTAATTACGTTGTGACCCCGCCCTACCCCCAGGGGTCATGACTTTAACAAACTTGAATTTACACTACCTAAGAATACTTCCATATTAATATGACTAATCATGGCTTTGTCATTTTTGAAAAGAAGATTTTTAAAGAATTTTTGCTACATATTTCTATGTAAAACTTGGATTCCATGTTGTGGCACAGTCCTACCCCCAGGGGTCATGATTTGAACAAAATTGAATCTACACTACCTGAGGATGCTTCCATATTAAATAATTAATCATGCCTTTGCTATTCTTGAGAAGAAGATTTTTAAAGAATTTTCCTATATATTTTTATGTAAAACTTTGATCGGCCATTGAAGCCCCCCCCCACCCCCCAGGGGTCATGATTTGAAGAAACCTAAATCTACATTACCTGAGGATGCTTCCCTTTAAGTTTCTTCTTTCCTGGCACAGTGGTTCTTGAGAAGAAGACTTTTAAAGAATTTTCCTATAAATTTCTATGTAAAACTTTGATCGGCCATTGTGGCCCTACCCTACCCCCGGGGGTCATGATTTGAACAAAATTGAATCTAAACTACCTGATGCCTCCATATTAATATGATCATGCCTTTGCTATTCATGAGAAGATTTTTTAAAGAATTTCCCTATATATTTCTATGTAAAACTTTGATCGGCCATTGTGGCCCCGCCCTACCCCTGGGGTCATGATTTGAACAAACTTGAATCTATACTACCTGAAGATGCTTCGCTATAAGTTTCATCTTTCCTGGCACAGTGATTCTCGAGAAGAAGATTTTTAAAACATACCACAAAATTTCCACTATTTCTGAATTATCTCCCCTTGAATAAGGGTCCAGCCCTTCATTTGAATAAACTTGAATCCCCTTCACCCAAGGATACTCTGTGCCAAGTTTGGCTGAAATTGGCCAAGTAGTTCTGGAGAAGAAGATGAAAATGTGAAAAGTTTACGACAGCAACGACGACGACGACAACAACAACAACAAAGACAGACAACGGACAAATTTTGTTCAGAAAATCTCACTTGAACCTTTGGCCCAGATGAGCTAAAAAAGAATAAATAGTATTTTCATAATACCAAACTAGTAAGTTTTGTTTTGCTTGACTGTTAGTATTTGTTGAATCAAATCTCACGGCTAGTGTTTTATCATTTGTAGAAGAAAGTACACGTGGTTAGAATTTTCGGGATGAAATATCATCTTTATCGTATGAAGAAAGAAGAGAGTATGTTATTTAATTAAAACGATCTTAAGGTCATACGCAACGTAGTTTGAACTCTTCTGTCTTTTTCCATGGAGCTGAAGAGTTCTAATTCTTGAAGGAACTGTGTGTTATATTTTAATATCTACGTATGGTATTGTACACTTATTCAAAAACAATTTCGGATAAAAAGAAACATCTAGAATATATGTTTAGTGTTTTTTATATATTTTTCTTTGAATCATCCAATATTTTCATCAATTTTTATCTTTCAAAAATCCCTGGTAATGCATGCTGATTTTTTGTCTATGAACATCTGATGACACTATAAGGCCATTCCAAGTTTTTTCTCTGTTTATAGCGTCCACCCATCTTTCAAAAACCTACCTACCTATTTGCAAAAAACACACAAGCCAAAACATAAAACACAGGCTTAAAAGTCATGAAAATGACGCCCTTCAAATGATTTGATCTAACTAAACTGCTTTAATAGAAGAAATATCTATTCTTAAGCAAAAACAAGGGATTGAATGCTTAAAATACACCCAATATAACTTAATGTATAGAATTATTTGAAGAAATTGACAAAATTAAAAATTTTGATTAAATTAATCAATTTCAGGACTCCTGGCCTGGGGGCCATAAAACTTAGACGAGCTCACTTTTGATCTCAGTCTCACTTTTCCACTATATATTCCTTTGGTTAAATTGAGACTGAGATCAAAAGTGAGCTCGTCTAAGTTTTATGGCCCCCAGGCCTGATGTTTGTTTTTTCTTATATGGGGTGTCAAAAACCAAGGCGCACGCGGACGCTAAACATAGAAAATACTTGGAATGGCCTCATCCTAAATTAAGAATATCTTGAAAAATTATCAGTAGGAAAGGTACGTTGCGTATGTCCTTAAATTGAATTACGAGGGTATGCATTTCAGCATGACCCCAATATATAGGTGTTACAATGTGAATTTTTGAAACTGACCAAGGCTATTCAGGCATTTGAACTATAAATGTTTTAAGGAGGATACATTATAGGTTAATAAACGGTTACTTGACAACTGTAAATTTATTCTGTGATTTAAGCATATCAAATTCTTTTGGTTCCGTCTTTGTTTCCGACATTATTCACATGAACCATAAAATGTGTACTTGACTGTTAACGAGGTTGCAATTTGCTCCTGATATGTAAGGTCTCAAACTTTTTTTTGTTACGTATATTTTTAGTTTCTACATACATAGCTTTATTAAAAATCAAATCAAAAAATGTGGTCCAATATGCTTCTTTTGGCGCCACAGTGTATTTCATGTGACCTTTTTGCACTGAAATTTGTATCTAAATCAAAAATTAAATATTCGACGTTTTCCCTCCAATATTTTTATCCAAATAATGCATGAAACAAAAAAACTATAAGACTTTAAAATTGTGACTAAGAAAAAGTTTCAAAATGAATCTTATAATCATTTATTTGACCTTTCTGCACTCTCAAAATTTGATTTTTCTGGCATTGAAAATTTAATAAGCAAGAAAATTATTTTAAAGTTTTAAACTTTGCTTAAGGTAGGATTCTTCTCATATTTCTAATATTTAAAAATTAATGAAATTTTCACAGAATCAAGAAGACAATATCAGTAAGTGATAGTATCAGTGAAATTAAATTTGACCGTTTTATATTTGAGGCAAGGTCAGGTCAAGGTCATTATCTTTTTCCTTGACATTAAGAATAAAAAATACTGTTGCCAATCATGTGATACCTAATTCTATTTCAAAAATTAAAATGATTGTTCTTTTTGCATAAAAACATATTACTATATCGGGTCCATCGCATTATATTACCAAATTTACATAGATAATTTAACTTAACTGGATATTGGCTAATCCGAATTTTCTCTGTTTTTCTTACTTTTTTAGGATATATTAGTTATTTTCATATGCTTCCTATATTTAACTTTTTCTTATTCTTACATACAATAAAGTAGTCTTATAAATGTACAAAATGATACAAAAACAAAAAGTATTATCGTTTACTTAGAGAGAAAAAATACTTTTTATGAATTTTTGGCTCAAATCTGCACTTTGATAGGAAGCGTTTAAAAGCTAACAAAGTTCTAGTTTGTTTGGAAAATCATATTTATTTGATATATTTTGAAAGTTTAGTCCCTCATTATTAATTTAACTTTCATTTGAAAATTTCTCCAAGTCTTCGATTGTGTAAAAATTATAACTAAATTCATTGTTCTATTATAATTTTGAGAGGCAGAAAAGAAGATATTTTCATACGCCACCATTCCGCCAAAAATATAGTCCCTGCTAGTTTTCAAACGCAGTTTACCATTTCTATTTAAAGTTGTACAGTTGTGATTAGGAAAGAAAAATATGGTCTTTTAAATTCCTTACACCTCAATATATAAGACATATAAGCAAATATACTTTGAATGTTTCATCTAGTCAGAAACCAGAGAAGAATCCTACCTTAATCTAAGCAGATAAATCAAAGTCATCTTAAATACTCAGAGAAGAACATCAAAAGTGGGGGTATATGATGTAATTTTTTAGATATAACTTAAAAAAGTGGGGGTTTTTTTTGTTTGTTAACATTGGCTAATTTTTTTCCCTGGACTTTCAGAATATATTTACTATATTTGTCACAATTTGTTGAAAGAATTAGTAAGAAATAATTAAATAGATATTTCAGAACCTGCACAATACATTTCACTCAAATAAACAGCTTTGTGTGTAACTAGCGTGTAAAAATATGAATATAAACTTAAGAGAACTGTATATAGTTCAAAAGGGAAAATTTTTTTCTTCTTCTAAAATATTCCCCGCCACAAAATATAGTTCCTGGCTTAATCCTACTTGAATGGAACTTGAATCGCGGTTTTTCTTTAATACTGTTCAATTTGCATTGTAGAATCCAGAACTTGAAAATGATGCAGAATTTTAGAAATAAAGGAACAGACCATAATCTGCTCAAAAGCTCAGGATCAAACTTCTTTAAATCAGTTTTGCAAACGTTGCATTATATGCAAAAGGACTTATACTCTGTATCTCTTTATCGATATAAAAAAGCATTAAATTTTATTCATACTTTCTGCATGATAGCATCTGTGTTAAATGTTCGTTTAAAACGTATCCCAATAAAAAATACCTCAGCTGTGAGGCTTTCTAATAACAATTATGCTTTTCTGAAGACCAAAAAATGTGTACGTGTGTGAGAGAGTGTGCATGTGAGTGTTAATAGAAGTATTTAAATGATATGCTGTAAGTATTCAAAGATTTTTAAAACTTTTTTGAAAAACTACTTAGATTGGCAATTTAACATATTTTTATGCAAAGTATGATTGAAATATTTTCAATGAACTTTTTTTAATTTGAATTAATGGTTTTAATCAACCTTCAAGGTTCATAATTATAATGTCTTTACAAATCTGTTATTAACATGCACTGGGTGCAGTCTGAAACAAACAATCTACTCTAAATTATACGATAATAATGACTCATCACCCAAAAATGCACATTTGCAAAATTCAAAAAAAAATGCAGTTAAGGTCTAAGTGAGATGCTAATCAACTTAATATCGAATAAAATGAATTAAAACTGACGTTTCAAAAATTTTGGATTACTTATAGTCTTACTTTAAAATCTTTTATTCTGAAAAAAAGGACCTACTTGAGTCTATACGATGGTTTATCCAAGTTGAAATTTGACGGGGAAAAATAACCATTCTATACAGTACCTAAGCAGTTGGCAAAATAATTTAGAGCGTAAAAATTGTTATGGTACAATGATTCTGAAGGGAAAATGATTCGTGGAGGTCTCTGTCCTGAGAATTGCAGTCAATTAATACATGTGCGGATCTCTCATGCCAAACATTTTTTTGTAATGAAAACATTTCTTCATCACATGTACAGTGGTGGTGTTTTAGGGTCTTTCAAGGCCTTTAATTGTGATATTTTTTATCTGAATGATTTAGATGAATTGTTTTGGTATTTTCTTCATAATATCCCTGAATAACAAAGAAATGAAAATTACTTCCTTCTATGCGCTATACATCTAACTTTCTGTACAGTAAAATTTAGTTGTGGTTAAATAAAAAGTAGTGGAGAATACGTCAAGCATCTTGATAAGTCTACAGTAGAAACACGTTTGCAATAGAAAGACCATTAGGCATCGAACTTACCATTTCTCCGTGACTGATTGTCAATCCAATGCATAAAATCAATACAACTGCAGCCGTAGTTCAACCATGTTTGTTTTTCCAGATCATTTATGCTGTGTAGTCACATTCTTCAAGACAGCCAATCAATTTTTTTCATGCATTACGCTTTTGTTGATATTCTGCATTTAATTGATGTTTCTTATACGGTAAAATGTTTAAAGTTCACAATCTTGAATTCAGATAAACCTACAAGCTCATGCATCAAAAACGTAGACGGTTTTCATATGGAAAGCAGTTTATGCAAAAAGAAAAAAAAATGTAATAAACGATTCCCAACAGATTTTAAGCAGCACAAAAAGCATCGTTTTCAGCAATATTACTAAAGTGACCTAGTTATTGTGGGGTTTAATTATTTGAAGGCTTTTAAATCTCACATATTTATGAGTTCTTTGCTTTTCAGAATGTTTTGTCATGCAAAAATCTTGCTTTGCTGTCTTTCAATAAATTAAAATATGCACTCCGTTTTAGATAAAAAATCTTGCGTACATTTTAATGGCGTATTTTATCGTTATTTTTTTTTTCTCGATCCTTTAGAATCTTTTCACACACAATGTTTTAATCATGTAAGCAGATATTAACGAAAAATTAGCCTAGAACTTCTCCGATTGTACCTTGTCAATGTAGTTGAGGGTTTCGAAACAACTACAAGGTATGCCAGATCTAGATTACCTGAGGCTTAAAAGTTTACGTGTTCGAGCAAATAGTTGCAGCTTCACTCAAGAAAAATTAATACAGTCTTATTAAATTCAAACCTTCCCCTAGGTCCTTTATGTTTGATGGGTAGACTGCAGCAATATCAAAATGAAAAGGAGCAAGTGAAGGTTTGATTTTAATCAGACTAAAGAAAATATTGCCCTGAATTCTTTCTTAAATTCTTGTCCTATTCTCTACGCGATGAAATGAAGAGTTTTTATACAAGCATATAGAGAGTTTGGGCATTTTGACCAGCAATGAGAAAGTTCGGGAATATCCTGACCCGCATAGTGAAAGTTGTTGTTTTATGTTCAGGTCCAGTAGGGGATTAAACGCTGATGTTTTCAAGTTTCAATTCTTGGTGCCAATTTTCTTTTTTCGTAAATCCTGGGAAACATTTTCTTTGATTGCATGAAAATTAAAATTTTCATAAATCTGAAACACAACAACAACAAAGATATACATGATATATATTCAACAAAATATTTTTCTAATAAATATCATATGCAATAATATTTCTACTTTTAACCAAATAGAATGTTTGTTGATTCAGAACTTGTATCTAATTCACAAATAAAATTTCTTCCCAGCATGCAGTTGTCTGTTCCCCACCGGAAGTTACTATCGAGTGACATGTGACTACAATGTTGGTGAGGGGGGAAGTACCTCGGCTCTTCTGGAAGCCAGTTTTTATAATCTATAAAGCCTTTCTCTGGAAACCATACCCATTCCCTGCTGTGTTCTAGATCTGTACCACTGAGCCAAAATGTGGCGTTATAGGAATCTATAATACAATAATTACATATACGACTGCTGTTAGAAAACTGCATAATGGAATTATATTAATACAGTTATGAGTATAATACTGTAAACCAACATTTATTCGCGTGCGAGAAATTTTCTCGAAGTTCGCGAGAGCCTAGTCATCGCGAATATTTCTCGCCGCGAACCGGTCCTGAAAGTCAATACGACAGTAGATCCAAAAAAGGCTTGATCGTTGCAAACTAGTTTATGCCCGTTAAATCGCGAAATAAAGTCGTCGCGAATAAAAGTTGGTTTACATTATATCATTTTTGTGTTATTATGTAAAATATGTCATTTTTATCATCATTTATAAACATCAAGGATTACTTCAAAGTGGTATGGAAAATACATGTACCTTTGTTGAATTTCCAATGCGTTTCTGCAGTGTTCCAAGAAGAAATTCCTATGAAGTTAACACCATGTGGGTTTGGGTCTGTCCACTTCATAAATGTGCCATTACCGACGACTTGACCTTCTCCAGCCATGATTGTTCCATTATCCCAGCTCACCCAGAACGATCTGGATGTGTTGCAAGATAGTGGACTGTGGAAAGCATTTGCCATTGTGTTTCCCTGTTTGCGTGTCCGAATGGCTGATTGCGTGTCGCCCCAGCCTCCTAGGACAATTTCATAGGAGTCTACAGTATCATTTCTGTTTTTTGACAGGATTAAATGTGCGTCGTTACATCCCATGACTTCAAATTTAATGTGTTTCTCTTTCCTTATAAACGTGGAGAAGTCGTCTAAGTAATGATATTTGTATTCCGGAGGTAGATCAATGTTCTCGATGGTAACTGAAGAAGATAAACATGTCAATAAATACAAGTCTCCATTGATAACAGCTTCTGATTCGGTCTAAATCAAAATTAAACCTTTGACCCGCTCCAACTAGATGGTTACGATCTAGTTGCGGCGGAAAAAAGGTATAATTTTAATTAGATTGACTTTTGATTCAAAGAAAGAGATAACTTTTCGTACCGTTAAAGTGCTCAGAGATGAAACTTTCCAGAATTTTCTGTTTGCCAGCACTGTGTATTGTAGGAAGCGTTCCTCCAATATCTTGACATTTTCCCTTAAACGGAAAAAAGCCTTCAAAGAACAATGTTAACTTAGGGCCTTATTGGTCCTGTGAATTTCTGTAAGATTAAAGTTACTAAGTTTAAACTGACGATATGTAAAAAAGCATCAAAAATGTCAAAGTTATTTTTCCTCGTTAGTCCCTGTACTAGAATTATCGCGCCGTTAATTGCGTCATTATCCCAGATTCTGAAAATTTCTTTAAATAGGTCCAAAAACATATTTGTTCAAATATTTTGCATAGAGCTGAACCTCTGATCCAAAATAGGTATTTCCGTCATGTAAGAACCATTTCTTAGGACAATAAAGCGTTGCATTTTTTTAATCAAGGCGTAGGTTCATATCATACACTGTATTTGTTTGCTAAAGATATTAAAAGTACCTGTTTTCTACTAGATTTAAGAGTCTTACAATATCACAAAGCCTGTCATAACACCTGGACTCTCGGATGAGGATATTATGTAAAACACATTAAATTTCTACTTTTTTACTGTTGTTTGAAATAGGATAAACAGGGTGTTTGTTAATAGTATAATAATTGATTGAGTGTACGTTAATTGTTTTGCATCCCATGGGAGAATGTTTTACTCAGATAGAGACATCACCCAATACTATTGAATTCTAGTCAGATAAGGAATTTGAAATTCCAAGCAATTAAATGCATATAAAATCTCAGGTAATACATGTATATCCATATTTATATGTTTGTTGTGTGCTTTACTTTCATAGGATGAAATGTTCATTTTCTCTTCTATCTCGGAAATATTATTGTTCATTATCAGAACATTGTTTAAAGAAGAGTCCTGATGACTTTTTGCCAGAGGCTCGGATGTTCTTTTGACCGAAGTTTAATCATTGCTGTTTAAGTATGTGGCTGTCAGTCGTTTTAGTCTGCCGACTGTTAATTGTCGACATCTCAAAAACCATTTGAACATTTTTTATCTAATTTAAACCTGTTACAAAATCATCCTTTGGCTACGGAAATACAATTCTTTTCAAATGAAAGGTCACTTCCCTTTTGAGAGAAAACAATTTAATAGGGGGAAAAATGGAACAAAACTGGTTTATTTGCAGATATTATTATTTTGAAAAGCCACGGACACTGAAGAGAATACTTGCCAACAAAAGCTTTTATAAAAGGGTATATACTAGTAATGTAAATGCAAGTTTGTTTTTAGAAAATTGGTCATATGGTTATTGTACATGTATGGGGGCGTTTATTGGCCAACATTTGCCATAGAATCCCAGAATAAGGAGTTGATCCTGACATTTAGTTACGAACAAATTACGAACGCATAAGACTTGACTTACACAGCAGCGATCTTACCACTGCGTTAGGCCAATCCAGACTTTTCTCATGCGGTAAAGTCAGACAAATGTTGTGGTACAATATGAATTCATCTGGACATGTTTCACCATCTGTATATAGAAAGCAACTGATGAATTATCATTTCAACAAAAAAGTTGCAAAAATATTTTACGTACAAAGTTCAAATTTATCAAAGTATATGGACATAATTTGTTCATTATATCAGTTTTAAATATATATGCCTGTACGAAAAAGACTTTTATAAATATAATATATGTTGAGGTAAATTTTTGCCCCATTTTTATATTTTTCTTATTTATGCAGAGTTTTTCTTTCACAGAGTCTTAGACAAAATGTGATTCATATGTTTTGATCATTAGATGATTTTATACTAAAATTAGACTTAATAAAATTCTAACTACAACGTTTTATGAAAAAAACTTCCCTTACCTATGCAGAAATATATATTTATCACCTGAATACGGGGTTTATGTCTCTTAATTTATTCAATTCGCAAGAGCACGCTCTACATACATGTATAAACAAATTCTACAACCAGGTAAATTATTGACAAATATGTTTATGAAATATCAGCAGTCTCGTTTTCAGTCGTCCTTTCATAAGTTCTTTGGTCGATACAAATGACCTTACCAGCAAATACATTATGTCATTAAATTAAATGCTGACTGACATTGTTCATATTTATTCTTAGACCTTTATATACACACTGAATTGTCAAGTTGACGGATTTTTCGTTTAATTCCCGATCATTTTAAGTAGCACACGGCGGGCGTGACCGGTCAGCAGGGGATGCTAACTCCTCCATGGCACCTGATCCCACCTCTGATGTCTTAGAGGTTCGTGTTTACTATGTTCCTGTTCTGTATTGTTTATTGGCCTTCAATGAGCTTAAATACTGTTCGCTATCTCTATATATTTAATCAATGTGTCGAAATATCTTATCTATATGGATTTTATACGTTCTCTTATCTAATATGTGCTCTTTATTTCGATTTTTACTTTTATGTAACTGAAACATTAACAATAAATTTTGAATTCTTATTAGAAAATATAGACAACTCTGCATATTAATTAATTGTGTTAGAGATATAATACTGGTTTTCGCCATGGTATTATTTGCTAATCAATTGAATGTTTATAAAAATACTTAATGATTTGTTAAGATTCGAAATTAGCTTTCATTACGTACATTTTAAGATGCTAATCAACGCCAAGGAGTTATCACCATATACGTATGTATATTAGAATCATTTGCAGGGCATTTTGATGTCAGACAGGTTTTATCAACTTATTCCACATTTATCAACTGCAATGGCAGGAAAGTTAACATAAAATGAAAGTGATTCTACTTACCAATTTGGACTAAATGGATCAAAATACAAAAGTATGAAAATAAAAGTAAATTATTATTCCAATATGACATTGTCAAATAGTTCGCTCTTAATTTTCTTTTCGCTATACTTTTTTAACTTCATGCACAACTGTACATTTTAGGATTGTTTCTTATCACCTAAGAGGCCATGGTTCGCGAGAAGTACGTCAGGGTTAATATATTGGTGCAATGTGATTTATTTTTCGACTGTGTTTACTATTACCATTTTATAATTATACGAGTATTTTAAAAAAGTACATTAATTTATAAATTCGAGCTACATATACAGTGTTATATTTTTGCTTCAATCTATTTTCTTTTCATGCTTTGCGATAGAGGACATTCGGACATGGAGTGACTGTGCTTTTTTCATGCCAAATTATTTTCAGCATTAGATTTATCATTGAGTCAAAACCTGACTGACGTGTTTCGTAAGGATTGTTAGGCCATTATTTACATACTGAATTGACGACGGATTTTTTTCTCGTTATATTTCCCGATCGTGACAAGGAGTACAAGGCGGGTGTGATTGGTCGGCAGGGGATATTCACTCCTCTATGGCATCTGATCCCAACTCTAATGTTCTCGACGTCCGTGTTTGCTCTGCTCCTATTTTTATATTGTTTTATGGAATTTTGAGCTTGAATACTGTTTTTTTATCTTCATAAATATCATCCACAAGATGTAAGGAAGGTGATACTGCAAGTTGTCTATTAATATACATGTAGATGACACTTTAAGTAATACTAGCCGCAGATCATGAGCATGTTGGACTTTTGAATATCAAATGGATAACCAAAGGTTTCCAATAAAATATGGAGATAATGAACAAGTTTGTTTTCTCTTATTGGGCAAAAGAACAATTTCGTTTAACTATTCACCTACATGTATATCGTTTTCTGTCTCTCTGACATGTATTGCTCTACCACGTTTTTCTATAAATTAATAACATAAAAAATGTTAGCTCTACAATTGAAGTCATCGAAAATTCTAGGAGGTTCGGTTCAAAATTCTAATCGGCCGTGATCAGTGTTTGTGTGCCTTGATTTGGATGTATATTTTTATACCATCTCAATTTTATCAGACCAATGACTCAAGTGCACAATACCATTGTACATATATCCCACCAACACAGAGAATTTGTAAAAGTTAAAAGGAGTATAATTATGAAACATTAAGCGCATGGCTTCAGCATACTCTACTATTGAGGACCCAATTGTGTACAAAATGATATTGGTGAACACATGTCAAAATTTCGGATTTATTCTCCATTTCTTTCGATTTGACAGATAAAGTTCCGGCTTTCCTCGCAGTCTTCGTCCGTCCATTGGTACGAGCGGGAACTGTCCATCAGGACACAGTGTTGTTTGTTGTAAAGATTGTCTGGTTCGCCCGTTGCCCAGTTTGTGTAATCAAACGTAGTCTCATCGGGGAGCCACATCCACTGCTGTTCCAGGGCCAAATCGGAACCAGCCATCCAAAACTGCCCGGGCATGTATGTACCTGATGAAATATTGGGGGAAAAGTGCAATATCAGCCAAAAATGCATGATACATGTAAATGTTCTTTGAATAAACACTTTTTGTCAATGGCGTTGTCAATGGCGTATTTGAAAATGATTTATCTGAAATTTTTTTAATTTTGTATTTTGAATTTGTATTTTGAAATTACAGGACATTTCTGGATTTTTTGATTTTCGTTACCTCTCTCAAACTTCCACTTTCCTGTAGCACCAAACCCTGTTGCCACAGCAACGAAGTTGACGTCATGGGGTGCTGTGTCGTTCCAGATGAGAAATCTATTTTTGCCAATATCGTGACCTTTTCCGACTTTTATAACATTGTTGGTCCAGCTGATCCAAAAGGGAAGATACTGGGTACAATTTACTGGATGGTTTTGGTGTGCAGCGGTATCCATGTGCGCGCATTGCTTACAGTCACGGATCACTGATTGTGAATCGGCCCATCCACCAATCACAATCTCATACGTGTACGCATTATCATTTTTGTCTCTTGACAGGGCTATGTGGGCGTCATTACACGCCATGACGTCAAAAGTGAAGGAAGAATGACCCGAGACGTCGATACCAGAGTCAATCAGGTAATGATAGATGTAGTCGTTACCTGTATTTAATGTTATTGTCGAGGCTGCAAATAAAAGAGTGGCAAATACAACGATGCATCCCTCTTAAAAATAAAATGCATTTATGGGTCTGAACTTTCCCTAGTTCGGTCAAGTCAGTGGCGTTTTCAGACCCATTTTCATGGTTTTTCTGTTAACTCTAAGTGGTAATTACTGTAAATTTGGATTATCTCCCTTTACAAAGTTGGTTTATTTCTCATCTTGATATTTTGTGTCTGCTAAAAATTATATGTCATTGTTAATAATACTTTTGAGAATTTCAAACAAATTATTAAACGTCACAAAGGTGGTAACACACGACAAACTGTTTTACAGACTTTTTACTCATTGAAGGAGGATAAGCTACTAGCGTTGAAAGGATTATGGAAAGAAATTAGCTAGTTGATGGGTAACCGGGCTATCAAATTACTTATTGCATTGATATAAATACATTTAAGTTTACTTAAAAATTTTTATTGTAATCAATAAGTGTCCTCCTTGAATGTGAAAGTCTGAAATATTGTATAGCTGTGTTTTATAATGGTCATTTTGTTTCATGTCTTAGGAGAGGCAGAGATTGACCAATCAAAATCTAACAAATGAAATTTCGACCACGCGGTGCGTCACTCTGCCTTTTCTCCCATCTACATCCTTGGAGGACGGACGTTTTTCAAAGTTTGTTATTTACCTCCTTCCACCCCGCCTCCACCATTTTTGTTTGTTGTTTAAATTTATGTTTTAGCGTTTTCAGACCCATTTTCATGATTTTCTATTAACTCTAAGTGGTAATTAGGGGACGACCATTTGATTCTGAGGTGGGGGCCTGGCAGATTTTGGAAATAAATAATCTGTCCCTGAAAATGGAGAAAATAAATAATCTGTCCTCCTCTGCAAAGAAAATAAATAATCTGACCTTGACTTATGATATTTAAACATAGTGAAAATAACTTTTTATTTCCGTGTAATTCAACCTCAGAATCTTCAATTCAGCATTTTTTTTGGCTCGCTTCGCTCGCCATTTTAGAACCAAATAATATTTAAAATCAGATTACCAGACTGCATACTTGTAGTCAGTTGATCAACATGACAATGTGCACTCAGTAGATGTGATGAATCACTTTAAATACAAGCCAATTCTTAAACACCACAAAAGATAAATTTACTTGTCAAAGAATTATACTTCCCGATAAATTAATACAAAGTATACAGTGGCAAATTTAAGTGTGTGTGTCCCCTAAAATTTCAAAGTATGAAATGAATTATATTAATATTGCCATACTTTAGTACAAAACTAATATTTTTTGCCTAGTTTTACTCTTAAAATACGCAAATCCCAAGACATTCAGGGGGCTTCGCTCCCTGGGCCCCCTTCATTCAAAGTAAGATATGAGTAGGATTAATTATGTCATACTTTGGAACATAACTAACCAATTCCTACATAATTGTGCCTGGTTTTACTCTTAAAATACACAAAAACTCACGAGCTTCAGGGGGCTTCGCCCCATGGACCCCCTTCATTCAAAGTATGATATGACCAATCTGTATAATGTCATACTTTGCTACATAATAACCAATACCACTATAATTGTCCTGATTTCACTCTTAAAATACCCGAAAACCCAAGAGCTTCTGGGGAACTTCCCTACCTTGGCCTCCACCAGTACTTCGCCAAGGACCCACTGGGGGCCTTAAGGCGGCCCCAGACCTCTTGCCTGAACGAAGTTATACACGCCCCCTATCCTGAATCCGCCTTTGGTATATAAATGATTAGTCTTTTAGAATCAATCGATCAAGGTACCGTAAGACAAAGAAGAAAATAAATAATCTGTCCTCGATAATCTTGAAAATAAATAATCTGTCCTTGACAGGCATGAAAATAAATAATCCGTCTCAAAAAAATTTGCCAGCCCCCCCCCCCCCCCCTCAGAATCAAATGGTCGTCCCCTTACTGTAAATTTGGATTATCTCCCTTTACAAAATTGGTTTATTTCTCATCTTGATATTTTGTGTCTGCTAAAAACTATATGTCATTGTTAATAATACTTTTGAGAATTTCAAACAAATTATTAAACTTCACAAAGATGGCAATACACGACAAACTGTTTTACAGACTTTTTACTCATTGAAGGAGGATAAGATAAGGTGTGCTAGCGTTGAAAGGATTATGGAAAGAAATTAGCTAGTTGATGGGTAACCGGGCTATCAAATTACTTATTGCATTGAAATAAATTATTATATTTTAATGTCCATAGCTTTTGAACAGTTGGTGTTAGGTCTATCATACTTCACATGTATTATGTTCAATGTGACAAGACATCCAATTTTGGAAAGAGAATAGGTTTCCTGTCTCAGTATTTTTTTTCTCTGATCTTTGGAATTTTTACAACTGAGATAAAAAAATTAATGAAAAAGAAAAATCCCCAAAATCATTTTAAAATATTTGTACTTACTGGTAAAATCCTTTTTGATAAGTGCAGTCAAAAAGGTCTGTGTGTCTAAATCTTTCACAGTCGCCAGATTTGCCCCTATTGATTGACAATAGCCCTAAAAAAATTTCAAAAAGCCTTAAAATATTTTTTTGAATATGTAATGTGCAACTAAGTGCGTTTATAAGACAATAATACAGGCACATACATGTTTACTTGAAAATATTAATCAGGGAAGAAGCTACGATAATTCTATAATTCTTTACGAAAATAAATTAATATAAGTTAATTGTTCTGGTGAGTCTGTAGCTTATTTGCCTCAAATTTTGGTCTCCCACTTTCATTCAGTCACTTTCACTGAAAGTGGGATATACTAGTATTACTTTGAACTGTCTGTCCGTTCGTTTGTATTTCTGCCTGTTTCTAACACTTTCTCTACTTTATTGTTTAAAAGCACGTACATGTATACTCAAATGTTCTGACGTTCGTTAATGTCTGAGAACTGATACATT